AACATTTTCACTTTGTCTTTGCGTTGCACGCATTAGTGAGTCTCTAAGAAGGCAGCTGGAGATATGTACATCACCAGATTTTAAAAGAATATGAATCATTAAAACAACAACAATCAAAACATTTGGCTTAATTATTGAAATACTCCCACTGCCTTATTGTCAACCTTTCCCAAGCCAACATGGACCAACGTTCCTCACTTCTGTGTCTTAAGTACTTTTGTGTTATGTCATTAACAGTGTTCAAACTCTAGATGTGAGTGTGGTGGTTTGTCCAAGTTGCACTACATGTGTTGCAGGCCGACCCCAAACTGACTCTAACCATTTTCTCTTTGCTTTGCTCCAAGAAATGTGAAGAAACGAAGGTACGACCCCAATGCCTCAGCCATTTAACCCAAGGAGAGTTGGCAATCACAGATGGACTCAAAGGCTTCTTCAGTTGGTAACCCTCCTGCTGGACTGCACTTACTGCTGCTGATCGATGGCATTAGATTTACTTGAAAAAGAAAACAACATAGTGGACATTTAACAAATTCCATTGTAGAGCTATAGAAATACAACCTTTTTAAATAAACCCCCATTTCTCAAGCTGCTCCTTACCCATATCCAGTGTTGGGGAGACGTTGGAAATGAGAATACTGAATACCTGCTTTAATGCTATGTATGTTTTGTAACATATTTCCAATTACAGTACTGTATTCTGAATAATTGGAATATTTGATATTTGCATAATATTTTGCTGAGTTTTTGCACCATCTTTATGATTTTGTTATTGTTTTAATAGAAAAGGATAACACACAGCATACATCACTACAATGAATGATAATTTATTTGTATGTAATATCTTGTCTAACTATCATACTCAAATACCAACATATATTCCTTTCATTTTTAACTGAAAGTAACTGTATTCTGAATTCCAGCAAAAGAAAAAGTATTGTATTCTGACTCCAGTTCAATATCATTCTGGATATGTATATCAAAGGTACCTGTATTTGTGACTCCCCAACACTGCCCATATGTAGAGTGACAGATCCTCTTCCATCCTTAAGTGCCAGAGCAGGCAGAAGCCACACCACTCGTACCTGGCATGATATCCGCACAGTAAGCTGCTGGCTGGTGCCCTGGCATGAGGAGCCCAGTTAGCAGGGCTTTGCATGGCTAATAAAGCTATGACTATTTATACAGCAAAAATAACATACTGAAGTTAGGACGTTTTAGAGTGGAATTGCCTTTGTGAAACCCTGTGGAAAGTGGGTGAGGCTCCTGTGGTTATTTTAGGAGCTTAATGCATGAGAGGGATCCAGAGGGTGGTGCAATGCAGTCAACACACACGTCCAACCGAAGGCACAGTACAAGAAGGATTGGCAGCATCCTCAACGAAGACACCTGTCACTTTTGTTTAACAACATTCAAGCATGCTTTACTGTATAGCGGGTGTTATGGACCAAACACTATTTTAAAAATGTTAATACTACAGATGAATTCAACCTGCCATGACTTACATGAGAGGAAAATGTTAGTTAGAAACAGCCAATAGAGCAGCTGAAGTAAAGCTTGTGTGGGTATCATCAGCAACATGGACATGCAAAGCCAAAGAAGAAACCTCCTGAACTAATGGATGTCGCTGCACACAGAGCAGTTTCCTTGTGCCTCTCATGCTGGGGTGTGAGCTCTGTCCTCTTTCCATTTCCTCAACACCCACTATACTGACTTTGACCTTGCTTTTGTAAAGTTTAGTTGAAGTTCAGCTCTACTGGTTACGCTGCATGCTTTCACTATAATGGGCTTATGATTCTGTGCGGGAGTCCCCCAAAATCTGCTACAAAATACTCAACAAAACTTAGGTGCATGTCGACAAGAAAACATTTAAACTTTTATTTACTATGCAAAGAGAGATATTGCACAAACGTATGGGTAATAACAATTTCAATATAAACAAGGATTTATGAAATCCGTTGCAATCTTTTGTATTTGGCAATGTCATATGTCTCATTTCATTATGCATACTACAAATAAAGAGATCAATCAATTTAATAATAAAATAAGCAGACACCATTTACATAAGAAACATTTCTGTGTGATTGTCATTGTTTAAGCTAATATTGTGTGGCTCATACACACACACATGTACATACATACACACACGCACAGACAAACTAACCTACGTACACATACGTACATACATTCACACACATGCATGCATACCTACTTACACACACGCGCACACACACACGTACATTTGCACACTTACATACGCACCCTCACATACGTACATTCACACGCACAAGTACACACACACACGCACAAGTACACACACACACACACACGCACACTCACTGTATGGAGCCTGGCTGAGGGTCCAGCTGACCCAGGGGAGGGTCCTCCAGGTGCTTCGGTGTAGTCCTCCATGTCTCACTGTCTTGTGTCTCTCACTGCATCGTGTACAGTTGGATTGGTGAATAAACTACAGACATATTTTGTCTCTGCTTTTGATTTGCCATTTGTCATTGTATTTTTGGGGATCAAAACACTGAAATTCAATAAAGACATTTTACTTAACCAATCTTGTCTTATTTTTCAACAACTCTGCCCCAAGACTTTTGGGTGATCATCACGACAGTTTTAGAAAGTATTTTTGTACACTGCATACTGCAATACTGACTAATTGCAATTAATCGCATATTTTTATTTATTCTAAATGTCCCTTGATTTGGGCTGTGATCTCCAGATAGTTGTGATTACTGATGGACGAATCACCAGTGAGCGTGACTGCTTTTGTTTTCCCCAACGCCCAGGCTGTGGGGCTGATTTCAGATACGTGCCCGTTGTAGAACCCCTATCACAATGCTGCGCTCCAAGCTGAACATGACTGTCAGCCCAGAAGATGACCCGCAGTGACACGGCTTCAGCACTAATACATTTTACATCAGTCAGAGTGAAATTGTTATTCTATAATGGCTCACAGGCCATGAAAATGCAGGAACAGTCCACACTATTCACTTTTGCTCAATCATTGTAAATAATGACTTCCAACAATCAACTGTAACCTGTCTGTTATATCATGGTCTGTGATAATTACATTTTTGAGACTCTTAGTTAATCATGTATGAAATCGGTACTTGTTGGTCTGGTTCTCATTAACTGGGTCTGGTTCACTCGGCCACTCGTTAGTTTATAGTCAATGTACAAGTGAACCAGACTTGGTCCAGTTAAAGTAAACCAGACCAACCATTGTGAATGTTCACTCTATTTAAAAATTTTGTTTTGTCTGCGAGGCACATACCTCAAACGTTCTGGCAGGATTTGGATGACATTTTTTGGAAACATGAGTAAAACTGATTTTATTTCGGAGGTGATCGGAGTTGTCTGGGTGAAGGATTTTTTTTTAAAGGAATGGAACTGCGACTTTAGGAAACGGTATGTTCTCTACGAGTGCTCTTCTTGGTTATTTACCTCAACAATTCCTTCCGTTTTCTCTTTCCCACGCACTTTACAAAACATTTTATGAATCAATAGATGAATAAGTCTTCTGCTGTACTGTGGGGATTGGAACGGAAACAGTGGTGACGTGTACACTGCATTTACCACAAGCCTCTCACTGTGAGAGTAATTGCACCTGAGATCATCTTTGCATGTGACATTTCAGTAAAAGCATTAAAACGTATTGAGAAAACCACTCCCAGTTATGCCTGAAGCTGTTTGTCCCCAGCCCAAGTGGTTAATATGGAAGGAAGCGCGGGTCTGAGTGAGACAGGTAACCCCTGTGTTTTTATACTTAATTCAGAAGATCAAAAAATAACATGCCATGATTTGACCTTTAAAGCCAGTCTATGTAAACGTTTAAAATAGATGTATTGTCTGATTTATGTCAAACAACAGAAACAAGTCATGATTTTAGTAACAGTTAACAAAGAAAAAGTAAATTGCTGTCCTATATTTTAATTTGAGTTTATAATGAGTTTCAGCAGCGTCAACGTGTACAACATAGACCATAGCATTGGGCTACATGGGGTACAATGCACATTATAAACAACAGAATAGGATAGAACACACATCAAACCGAAATATAATATCATTAAAAACAAATGTGAGATGTAAATAGTTGTATCAGTTTTATTGTAACTTGTATAAAGACTTCCCATATTGAAAGTACATATTAAAAACACACATGGAACAACACACAAAGACGCACAGCCCAGTTAAAGTCAAAAAGGACAAAAACATGTTTTAAACTCAACGTCTTGACCAGAAGAATTCCCCATAAACAAGGAGTGATCTGAGATAGTTACTGTGGTTTTATTGCAGTTGATTTTCTTATTCTCTGATCTTTGAAAGTCTTGGACAATATATATACATTTTCCTCACCCTCTGCCAGCAGTTATCCCCCCTCTCTCTATTGATATAAAAAAAAAAATGCTCCCTTTGTACAGATGTTTAGCACATATCACCTCACAAATGAAAAACATTTAGAGGACTCTATAGACAGAATAAGAAACAGCCTGTTCTAATGTAAATCATATGAGAACAGCTTTTAATCAGGAATAACAGTGACGGATATAAAGTGTGTGTTCATTTTTTTTGTGTGCAAACTCTTTAATATCATGATTTTCTGTGTTTTAGTTAAATGTTATGTCCAACCTGTAGCTGGAGATTTTGTGTGGACAGGAGGGCTAACACAGGCAGGACATGAATCCTGAAGAGCTCTGCAGGGGAGGAGGTGTGACGTCAGCTATAGGACTAACATATTTATCAAACTCCATCAAACACTATAGATTCTGTGTTGGTCTCACATATGGTAAGTAGATTTTAATCATTACAACTTTGCAATAAATCTATAGATAAATGAGTAAGTAAAAGGGGAAGAGTTTGTTGTTTCCTTTCTATGACTTTTCTATCAACTTTGGTGTCACAGTCTGGTGCATAAAGGGGTCAGAGACAATTTTGCCTTTTTAATATATTTCTAACGTATAAAAAAAGTTAAATCTTCACTTTTATTGAAGATGGTTCCGGTGCCCGTGTGGCTGCTCACGGTCACAGTGCTGTCGCGTTGTTTCGGGAGCCTCATGGCGCAGAAACCGGGGCAGGTGGACCCGCTGATGGAACCCCGGGGCGACCCCAAGTGCTGGGACTCCTCTTCCGCGCTGCTGCTGGAGCTGCGCTCCCCGCGCATCGCGGACTCTGTGGAGGCGTTCTGGGACCTCATGGTGTCTCTGAAGGCGTCTGACAACATGCGGCACAGTGCCCTGTACTGGGACCTGGCCGCTCTCTTCTGGCACCTGTACCTGGACTGTGAGATGTCCCGGAGCCACGGGCTGGGCCGCAGACACGTGACCTCCGTCCACTCTCTCACCACGGACAGTAAGCTGCATTTGTGAAATACTTATCATTCACATTTAATAACCAAATTGAAATATATAATAGATTAACTCATACTAATATAAGTACTACTAATACTTTTAAAATATGGAGTTTGATTTTGAGTCTGAAGAAAAGATGAATAAAAAACATATAGGTTATATTAAAAACGTAATGTAATGTTGATAGTACAACATCCCATTATAGGCCTTCTTATTTAGTTATTTATAATAATGTAGCGTACCAAACGGGAGAAGGATGAGAGACACAGAAAGAGGCAAATTGTAGTTGGAGACTCCCAAAAAGTGAGGTCCCCATTTATTTATAGAGGACCAAAACCCGCGAAACATAGGTCACAAGGTAACACACATGCGCACAAGCATAATACTAAAAAGTCGTTTACAATAATACTAATCATAATATAAAAGCAATGTGTTTTTATGTGTTTCTGTGTCATTCAGAGAGGTTCAGCTTCGACAGCATGGGGCTGCACTCTCTGGCCCGGCTCAGTGTCCGAGTGAGAGGACGATTCAAGACTCTGGAATCTCACCCTCAACCGCGCCCCCTTTTCCACTGACTGCCGCCTTTGTACATCACAGCCTTTAAACTTACATCATTTTACATGTGTTCTGTCATTACATTATTGCATATTGTTTGTTTCCAATATAAATTTGTTTAATTAATCCACAAAATATCCTAAAATAAAATCTGTATTCAAGATAAATGAAGAGAAGCAAGAAAGTATATGATATTTGTTTGTCATATTGATTTATTGTTAACCTCTTTGTTATAAAACAATACCACACAATAGATGTGTTGTTAAAGATACTATAGAAAGGTTTTTGTTTGATTATTCTAATTTCATAACTAAATGTTTTGTTTCATACTTTTTTAAAGAGTATTTAAAAAGTATTGTTTTAAACATTTTAAATCGCGCCAACTGCATGTGAAAGCCTGATCCCGACTGTCCACAGAAACTAAACCTGGCAGATCTTGGTTAGTACTGTGATGGGAGACCTCTGGGAACAGCAGGTGTCACTGTCGAGCGTCTGCGGCTGTATAGTGCCAAACTGTTGTCGTATCCTATGGCAAAGCACTTCACCCACACATTGCCTAGAACGAATCTGGTGTGTGCGTGAATGTTTGGTGGTCATGTTACAGATTTTGCTTCTGTCAGTGTGCCCCAGGGCAGCTGTGGCTACAGTAGTAATCCATCAGGGACGTGCAGTCAGGGGAGGCAGGGGAGGCAGAGCCTCACCTGCCATTATTGGAAACTAATAATTATTTTAGTTTAAATATATAATTTATATCCACTGTCCTATGCTTTTAATGTATATTCGGCACGGTTCCCATCAGTTTTGATAATTTCTGAAGTCAAAATCGCCGAAATCCCGTTATTCCTATTCAAAGAGACGAGGTGAGGCAGCGCTCCTGCGTGCCTCACCCCAGACCGCTCCCTCACAGTGTGTGTGTGTGTGTCTGAGTGCACTCAGCTCGTGCAGTTGATATATCACCGTTTGTTTCAAATATCCTGCTTTAAAAACATTTTTTAAACTCCTCTTAGTGTTTAGTAGTGTATTGCACGTATGTGTGTACAATTTATATTTAGTTTAAGTCTTTTGATCGTAGATGAACACACAAGGAAAAAGCTTGGCGTGAGGCAGGCGGTATCTGTGCCTCACCGCTAGGGGTGATAGTGAGCATAAAGTTCATACCAGAGTTGCTAACAAACAATCAGCCCAAAATGCTATTTCTTTTGCTGGAAAATGGATGATTTGAATGAAGATTTTTTTTTCTCAATTGGACTTTCAAACAAAGAAAGAATTAATATAGACTGGGAGACCACCACTGGACTTACGAGGTTAGTCCGGCTGCGGGGGAGGAGTTTGTTAATCTGTGTTTTATGTTGAACATTGACAGATACCGGCAAAGTAGTGCTTTTCCGAAAAACACTGATTCAAACACTGCTCAAGAGTTCTGCAACTTGTTTAAATTATTGTTTATGTTCCTCGCGTCTCTCTCTCCTCGCGTCTCTCTCTCCTCGCGTCTCCGTCTCTCTGCTCCTCTCTGTCTCTCTCTGCTCCTCTCTCCTCGCGTCTCTCTCTCCTCGCGTCTCCGTCTCTCTGCTCCTCTCTCCTCGCGTCTCTCTCTCCTCGCGTCTCCGTCTCTCTGCTCCTCTCTCCTCGCGTCTCTCTCTCCTCGCGTCTCTCTCTCCTCGCGTCTCCGTCTCTCTGCTCCTCTCTGTCTCTCTCTGCTCCTCTCTGTCTCTCTCTGCTCCTCGCGTCTCCGTCTCTCTGCTCCTCTCTGTCTCTCTCTGCTCCTCTCTCCTCGCGTCTCCGTCTCTCTCTGCTCCTCGCGTCTCCGTCTCTCTGCTCCTCTCTGTCTCTCTCTGCTCCTCGCGTCTCCGTCTCTCTGCTCCTCTCTGTCTCTCTCTGCTCCTCGCGTCTCCGTCTCTCTGCTCCTCTCTGTCTCTCTCTGCTCCTCGCGTCTCCGTCTCTCTGCTCCTCTCTGTCTCTCTCTGCTCCTCTCTCCTCGCGTCTCCGTCTCTCTCTGCTCCTCGCGTCTCCGTCTCTCTGCTCCTCTCTGTCTCTCTCTGCTCCTCTCTCCTCGCGTCTCCGTCTCTCTCTGCTCCTCGCGTCTCCGTCTCTCTGCTCCTCTCTGTCTCTCTCTGCTCCTCTCTCCTCGCGTCTCTCTCTCCTCGCGTCTCCGTCTCTCTGCTCCTCTCTGTCTCTCTCTGCTCCTCTCTCCTCGCGTCTCTCTCTCCTCGCGTCTCTCGCACCTGCGCTTCTTAAAGATGTTGTTTGATGCGGAGCAGAGTCAGCAGCTAGATTTGTTGTGAGATTATTAAAAGAAGCTGGTTCTCTTATCTTTACAGTATATAAAGTTTGTGGATGTCATTGCATTGGTGATTAAATGCTATTTTATTTGAATAATGATTGTAAATCTGACTTTTAAAGTCAGTGCCTCCCCAATCACAAACCTCACCGCACGTCCCTGTAATCTATTACCAACTAAGCGTCTATGAATGTGATCATCTCTACATAAAACCTTAGCATTATCATTATTAAATACGTTTATGTTCTCAGATTTTGACTTTTTCAAACTATCGATTGTTGTTTGCTTTAGATCTGTAATTAACAACATTAACATATTAGTTGAACGATTATTTGGACTTGTAATTGATTAGTTGGTCAGAACACATAAAAGTTTTATTAAAAAATGGAGTAAAGGTCCCAAACATTATTATGAAAAGCTTGCAGGGATCTCCAAAAACAAGGCATTTCTTTCAAGTACGAATAACACGAAAAGGCTATCTTCTGAATTTATGGAATAAGGTACTGCAACAATTGCGGCATTGAGCTAGAAATACCTTTGGAACAGAACAACACAACAAATAGGAGAACTTTGGTCTGGTTTGACTTCAGACAGTAGGATCTTCTACGGTGAATGAAACTCTCAAAGATGCTTCACATGGTAAAACATTACTGTTGCCACAGCCATGGGGTAGAATGACAGATAAAGCTAGCCTCACGCACAGAACAGGAAGTCGTAAAGGTCACGTGAGACACTATTACTTTTACTTTCATTTTCGAGTCTTCAAATACGGCGACGGAAGTATTTCCGTAAACGTATCACTTAAATCTTTCAACAATAATAGGGGATATTGTTGTCTCTCTCCCCTACTGTTGAGTCTTTCATCAGTTTTACTATTATCAGCCTTTTAGAATAGTGACGAAAGGACACTGCTGGACCCTCTGCTGAGCTGACTGGGCTCGATCTCCTTCAACACTGGTATGTTCTGGATCTATACACCGTATAGATCACTACATAAGTGTATGTAAACCCGACTGTATAAGCGCTATCTTTCAGTTAGGCAGTGAAGAACCAGACATGGAGCAAGGCTCTGGTTTAGCTATTGATTTATTTATGTATTTGATAGGGACAAATGTACACAATCAACATGTGAAACACTACAACATTTATAGCCAAGGCTATTTCTCTTGTCTCTTTTTGAAAACCAGAAAACCAGGGTGAGACAAGAGACACGCAGTGCTGATGTTATGAGTATTGAGTGACAGCTCTGATTGACACCCTATTACCAATCAGAATGAGTTATTTTTTTATTCTACGGTTTTTACTACCGTGTATATCAAGAATAAACTGAATGACCAAATAAGATAAGATCAGATGAACTTTATTGATCTCACACTGGAGAAATATAGGACAACTTACAACAACTTACAACAACAACAACAATAATAATAATAATATGATAATAATAATATTGCTCTTTTTACCCATACTTTGATTAAATGTAGCCAAACCTCCTCACAGTGCAATAACTATTAGTTGATTCTAATACTTTCATATTATCAAGACAATTCTTGAGCACTTTTTAAGAGGATGCTGACCTAACTTGTGGTACAATCACAAGTATGATTTGCTTTATAGAGAGCTAACATGTGTCTGACCCCTTCTCTGCCCTGACCTCTGCCATGTGCACCTGCAGCAGATGGATTTCCAGAGGCAGCTCCTGCACATAGAGCAGTCCCTGGGCACAGAGGATGTGGAGGCCTTAGTGTTTCTCTGCACGAAGGTCTCACGGCGCAGTTTAAACTCGGTGGAGCTCTTCAAAGACCTGTGTAACAGCCTTTCAGAACAGGAGCTGCTCTCACCCGAGAGACCCCAGCTCCTGAAAGAGCTTCTGCTCACGATACATCGACCACTCCTCGCCCGAAACCTCCAGAGAGACGACTGGGGGCCGACGACACCGCTCATTTCGCAATACAGGTAATGCACATAGATTTATAGCTACAACACCATGGTTTTATTAATTAATTAAATTATTTAATTATTAACTAAATATGGACATAACAATAACACTGGACGAACCAGATGCATTGCTGAAAGTGCTAATTTTAGTCCACATGGTAACACACGGTTACACATGTTCAGTTCAGCAGCCACACTGGGAGATCCCTCTGCACTTTATCCATTGCCGGGTCGGGGTGGCAGCCGTCTCAGCAGAGAAATCAGACTTAGCTTTCTATGCGCCCAAGGCATTCCCAGGCCAGCTTCCCTTGGAGTCTGGGTTTTAAAGCTGGAGTACCTGACTTTCCATCCATCTAACTAAGATGCCACACAGCTTTTTTATCACTAGTCTCCCACACATCTTTATAATTACTTTTTCAGAATGAAAAACAAAGATTCTGATATTTTCCATTTGCAGTTAAAAACACATTATTTTATATTAAGATGAAGACACCATGTGGTGGTCTGAACTCTTTGTGAACCTAAATGAAAAAAGTTAGGTGCCCTAGCTTTATTTAAATTGTAATTGTTGAATTACTTTTAAAGTTTTTTTACTGCTCATTTGTCACTTTAGGTCAAACATATCCTGTTGTATAATACTACAAGTGACGTAAAAGGATATTGAACAATAGCTTTCTCAATAGTTGAAGAATAAGAACTCTCTTCATTAACATCTTCATAAATATCTCAGTATCAACTCGTAAGATGGCTTCCAAGATTGCTACGGCAACAGAGCCCACACTCTTTATGTTATTATTATTTACTAAGCTTGAACTCAAACGCAGATGGTCCATATATATGAAAAAACAAATATATCATTCTGTATTAACTCAGACACCAGTGACTCCAGAATGTATCGCACTGAACTTAGTACCTATATATTATCATTATATGTATTTTACAGCAAGGTTGTGATGCACATGTATTTCCCCCCAGAAAACTGCTCTACAGTCTCTCCGAAGATATAACCGATGAAGACCTGAAAAATATCAAATTCCTTTTAAACCAAAAACTGCCTCGAAGAAAGCTGGATGAAAGTGTCGTAAGTGCGCACGCACATAGTTTGATGCTGAATACTTGTTCTCAGAAACAATATTATTTTTTCAAAGACAACATTGAAGCTTTTCTTGGAGATGGAACAGATGGATCTCCTCAGTGAATCTAATTTCGACTTACTGCACGACATATTTGAGTCTGTGTGTCCAGTGCTTAATGAGAAAATCAATCGCTACAAGGAACAAGGTATAAACAAAAGCACCAACATGAAAGAATATCACGATCAGAAAACCTTTAGAAAATACGTAATGAAATCCATTTTGCATCATAAGCACCGCCTGCGGTTGTTGAGGCCCCTGTGACTGTTCCGATGGACGAGTTCCAGGTTAGACTACATCGAGTGTTTTTATCTGGCACATTGAATAATCCTCATATTCCTCCACTTCAGCAGCCTCTAAACGTCCGACCTCAATCTCCGCGTGGAGCAAACCATGTCCCAGGTTGGTTGTCTTTGCGTGTGTTAAAGTGAGACATATTTGGATTACAGTACTCGCAGGACTATCAGCATATAAACCGCACATAGTTAAGGTAGGTCAAGAGACATGTACACTTAAATGTTTATAGGAGGTTTTTCACAAATTTTAGGAAAGAACCGCTCTCTCCACTTTTTGAACAAAACTTTGATGAGATCTATCACCAAAATGATAAGATATTCCTTTATTCGTCCCAAAGTGGGGACATTTTTTATCTTAAGCACACTTTTTTTGGCCAACATTTAATACACTGTTAATGTATTACTAGAATATAGTGTGTTAATAGTATTGTAACTATGCAACATATAAATATCTCACATCCCCTTTGAGTTGCTGAGGTAAAACTAAGAAATGTAATATTTTGCAGGCTTGCAATTGCCTGGGGTTAGTTTGGGTAAGTTGTGCATAGTTTTTGTCCTTGTCTTCTCCACTATTCAGATGCTTGTAGTGGTATTTTGTGGATAGTTTCATTGAATCAATGAAAATAATATTGTTGTTTATAGACGTTCCACAGGACCCTGGTGTGACTCAGCAGCAAGTTGGAAATCCAAAGATTGGGACTAATTTACCCTCAATAAAAGGTCAGTAGACTGATTGAACAAGTAAGAAAACTTTATTTATACAGCGCCTTTCACAGACCAAGGTCACAGATCGCGTCACAGTCAAAGCAGATAGAAAATATTATGTAATAATGTAATGTAATACATGAATGTAATGTAATGACATTATGTATTGTGTAATCATTACTAATACAGGAAATAATTGTTACAATTGTTCAGTATTAAAACATTATCAAACAGTTTAACATCACACCTCCCCGTATTTTTTGTAGGAGACATATTATGCTAAATCTTTTTTTCAACCTGCTTTTAACCATGTTACAACATTGTTATTCATCAGAATCAGATCTCCATGCAGGGACTCAATTCAATAATAAAAAAAAAAACCTAAATCATGACAGCAGTCGTCTCGGAGAACTTCAAAAAGTTATCAATTCACCAAAATAAATCAGAGAATCAAGCAGTTCAAACACAGGACAAGCCATAATAACTAAAAAAGCATAGGAGCCATTGATTCATACAAGGGTGGACGACCAATGTCCATAAATGTCCATAAATGTCCCGGATCATCACTGTCCTTAGGTCCTCCTGTATTTGCAAGGAACAACTCAAATAAACTCCGGCCCTTCTGTCTAAAAGCTCCTGTCTCAGTTCTGAGATAGTATGATGTCATTGTACCACTATGACGCTCAGAGCAGTTTTCCATCTTTTAAAAGTATTTCTCATTAAATACTTTTGGCACTATCACAAATGAAATGAGTTCCTTTACAATCACATGCTGTTTTTGCAGATTTGGAATTTTTGCACACAAAAAACCTTCTTCTGGTGGTAGCATAAGGAATCACAGGCAGAAAGCATTTTTTTACTCTTCATACTTTTTCCACCATATATTTTCAACATAAGATATTATTTCACATTCTAAAATATGAAATAACAAATAAAAAGAAAATAGTCATTTTTAATAGCAGAGAAAATGCTTTATAATAATATTTTGTGATTGTGATTATTATATGTGTAACCATTGACAGTAAATAATGCTATGTATCGACAGACCTCAGAAAAACATCTTTGGTGAACAATGTTTACAATGGAGTCACAAACGAGGTATCTCTAGTTAAGCTTTATGTTCAGTATTTTGTCTATTTTGTTCATGCTTGTCGTATTTCCCACAGGAGATAGGAACATATCCAATGACTGGAGTCAGAAGAGGCATCTGCTCGATAGTAAACAATTACAAATTCAGTGGTAAAAAGTTACGTGAAGGGACGCAGATTGATCAAGGTACACGTTTAAGGAACTGGCAACATGTGGTAATAAAATCCATGAACTACATTTTGTTTGATCCATCAAACAAGTAACCCTTTGAACTAATCAGACCACAACATGCTTTCTTTATCTTACTAGAAATCATGTTGTCTTTTACATATGGGAGATGTGTCTGAGGCCTAAAATACACAAAAATACAAACACTTTTGAGAGCTAGGGAATACAAATATGAATTTGATTACATAGATATTCTTTGCACCTTTGGTTTGATTTAAATGTCTGATTAAGGGTTTGAAAGGGCATGTTTTCTTTTTTCACTTTTCAATTGAGTAAAAGAAACTGGTATATGTCCTATTACGTAATATATATAAGGTGTTAATATATACATAGTTCCCACAGACCAATGAATGTCACATGACCTCCTCGGAGACACCATCTTTGATGGCACGCTGCTGTGTTTGTGCATTCCATTAAACAGAAGAATGAGAATAAATGTAGATATTCAAACGCAAATTGGAAAAAAAAGGGCAACTTTTGAGCAAATAATTGTATATTAATGCAATGGCACCACAGTTTAACGTGCTACGGACATGTTTTACATATTTGATCAAATTATGCAGCAAAAATTAACAAGCAATGCAAACATTTCTCAAAAACTTTAGATTTAATACCAGTTGGAGCTCCATTTAATTATTTTAATTATATTAACAATTAATTTAATTAATGCTAATGCCACACGGACACTCTGGATTGCTGTTATTGTTTATTTCCGCGTTTTTGACCGTATGTTTTGGTGAATGGTGGGCAACTGATTTTTCCAGGCGTAAAGAGCAGTTTATTTTATGACACAGATCTTTTTACAGAAGCAATGCTGTTTGTGAACATTGTTTTAGCCCACCATAGAACTATTATTATCTATTTAATACATTTACGTTGCCCTCGAGAGCCTCGGACGCGACACCGATCCTCCTCATAATAAAGTAATCTAACGCTAAATAATGAAACTCTCAAGTTACCAGCTATCAGCATACACAAGTTAGTACTGAGTAAATTACGTCTGTCAACACATTATAAGATACGATACGCACCTGACACAAAGTGCTCCGAGCATATTCTTGCATGTTTTGAGGGAGTTTCTTGCCTGTTTATCATCGCAAGCCATAACCTCCGTGGTTGTTCTGACAAAAGCTTAGTCTTCTCACATTCATGAAGTCTAATGATGGGTATACTGTAAAATCCAAGTTTAACGGAACCTCCGGCACGATTTGAACATCCATTGACCCAGCAGGAGATGACCATTTTCAACTTTATCACGACATTAACACGTTTCAGCTTCTTTTTCTATTGTTTTGCCCACAGAATGCCAACACAAATGTCGCCGGGTCGGCAAATCCCCGTATGTAGTGACGTCATGTGGGAACTATGTATACAGTCTATGGGTGTTACCAAAGAGAGCAATATTCTGAAGCACAAACTTAAGCTTCAGATCTCTGACACATTCTAGTTACATGCACTGACAGATTGAAGACATTTTGTTAATATTAAGATTAAGAGATTCTGTATTTGTCCCATGGTGGGGACATTTCAGTGTTGCATCACAAGTTAGACAGTTCGAATGAGGAGCACACAGGGCAAGATGAATGAATAATAGTTCTATAGTAAAAGAAAATAAACTCTAGCATAAAAAGAAGCAGTATCAAATCTCTACCTTCAACATAATAAGCAAAAACGTCTTAAATATGCAACATTAGCAGGATGAAGAAGCCAGACTTAAGTACAAAATCCCTTGATAAATGTGGGACATTCCGCTTTATTTATTAATAAATAAAGCGAAAAAAATCAAACATAAAAAAGTTTTCAAAGTTTGGTACCCCAGCTTTATTTGGTGTCATGAATGCTTCTATTCATATGTGCAGAGTGCCTGGAGCAAGTCTTCCGGTGGCTGGGCTTTGAGGTGGAGGTCCATCCCGACTGCAGCAGTAAGAAGATGGTGTCAGTGATGGAAGAGCTCAGCAGAAGAGACCACAGCGACATGGACTGTGTGGTGTGCTGCTTTCTGAGCCACGGTTTTGAAGGAGGCATATATGGAGTGGATGATAAATCTGTTCACATCGAGCAGCTGAAAATGTTCTTCAATGGATCCAAATGCCCCTCTCTTGTTGACAAACCAAAGCTGTTCTTCATCCAAGCCTGCCAGGGGCTCCTGGAACAACAAGCGGTCAACCTCCAGACGGACGGCCCGAGTTGCATTGAAAGCGATGCTGCTAAAGTTGATGTGTCGATTCCTTCTGGTGCTGATTTCCTGCTGGGAATGGCCACAGTTCCATCATATGTTTCCTACAGAGAAAAGTCAAGTGGCTCCTGGTTTATTCAGGCTTTGTGTAAAAACCTCATCCAGATGGTTCCCAGGTTGGTTGATGTTCTTGTTACATGTATTTAATTAGAATGATAATGCACAGTCACACATTTGCAAGCACCAACTGGCCACCAAATAGGCATAATTCATTTTCACTTACAACAAAGTGCTCAATGATCACCTTAATTGGATTGAAATTTGAATTATTTTGAATCTACATCAAAACACACATAAACACACAAACGTACTTCCAAGAACACAATATCCATAAAATCACCCACTGCTGACAAGACAGTTGTTTTTGAAGGTAACTCAGTATGTTGCTACAAAACTGTAATAATAATCAAATCTTTGTATTAGTATTTAGAAAATAAAACATGGCACTACTGAGTTACTTGAAATGTAATTACTATAACTAAATGAGCTAAGTTTATTATTTTTAGAAAGCAAGAAAGTAATGCTAGATGGGATATATTGTAATTTTTGATAAATGGATTGTCTCTTCCACAGAGGAGAAGATCTTGTTTCTATCCTGACCAAGGTGAATGCCGATGTAAGCCAAAAAACTGGTTATTCCAATGGAGTAAAAAAACAGATGCCCCAACCATCTTTTTCACTAAGAAAGAAAGTCATCTTCCCTAAGCCTTCAGAAGCTCCTCCCTGTTTGAAACCATAATGAAGACATTTGTCTTTTTGTATTTTGTTTTTTTTAATAAACAAACATTCTTACTTGAAATCATGTCGATGATTTACTCATGCAATATAATATAAATAAATGTCTATATTTGACTTGGTTTGTTTACTATGATATAGCCACGGTACCAGTAGGGGGCAGTACCGCGCAGGATGTTTATAACAACAGTATCCGGTCTTTTAGCCGCGGCACTAGTTAGCCTGTTCATTTAATACACGCTTTTTTGCATTTATCCAAAGTGTTTTCTGAAACCTGAAGGACAGTACAATCCAGTGTTGATATTTAACCAGACCCAGTGAACAGAGATGTCCCAGGACCAGTGTCCTGTGACTGTGTGCGCGGACACCAGGTGAGCGACATAGACTGTATGTGTGTCTATGTATGTATGTCTATGTGTGTATGTTTGTATGTCTATGTATGTATGTCTATGTGTGTATGTTTGTATGTCTATGTGTGTATGTTTGTATGTCTATGTATGTATGTCTATGTGTGTATGTGTGTATGTATATGTGTGTATGTTTGTATGTCTATGTATGTATGTCTATGTGTGTATGTTTGTATGTCTATGTGTGTATGTTTGTATGTCTATGTATGTATGTCTATGTGTGTATGTTTGTATGTCTATGTATGTATGTCTATGTGTGTATGTTTGTATGTCTATGTGTGTATGTTTGTATGTCTATGTATGTATGTCTATGTGTGTATGTTTGTATGTCTATGTATGTATGTCTATGTGTGTATGTTTGTATGTCTATGTGTGTATGTTTGTATGTCTATGTATGTATGTCTATGTGTGTATGTATGTCTATGTGTGTATGTCTATGTATGTATGTCTATGTGTGTATGTATGTCTATGTGTGTATATCAATGTATGTATGTCTATGTGTGTATATCAATGTATGTATGTCTATGTGTGTATGTATATGTATGTATGTATGTCTATGTATATGTATGTATGTCTATGTGTGTATGTATGTCTATGTGTGTATGTATATGTATGTATGTATGTATGTCTATGTGTGTGTGTATGTCTGTGTATGTATGTCTATGTGTATGTCCTATGTATGTATGTCTATGTGTGTATGTCTCTGTATGTATGTCTATGTGTGTATGTATGTCTATGTGTGTATGTATGTCTATGTATGTATGTCTATGTGTGTATGTATGTCTGTGTGTATGTATGTCTGTGTGTATGTATGTCTGTGTGTATGTATGTCTGTGTGTATGTATGTCTGTGTGTATGTATGTCTGTGTGTATGTATGTCTGTGTGTATGTATGTCTGTGTGTCTATGTATGTCTATGTGTATGTCTGTCTATGTGTGTATGTCTGTCTATGTATGTATGTCTGTCTATGTATGTATGTCTATGTGTGTATGTATGTCTGTGTGTATGTATGTATGTATGTCTATGTGTCTATGTGTATGTCTATGTATGTATGTCTGTTTGTATATCTATAGGGCTGAAACAACTAATCGATTAATCGACGACTAATTGATTATTGAAATAATCGACAACTATTTTAGTAATCGATTAATCGTTTTCTGGTTCACATGGACTCAAACAGAGCAAAAATGACATGAAAATGTAGTATTTTTGATTAAAACCGACTTTGTTTTTATAATTTCATGAATATCTGTCTGTCTCATCCAATCAGATAGCAGAATTAGCACAAAGAGCCTGTTACAAACATTTACTTTAAGTTTACGCCATCAATACGTCCTCGAGTGTTGCCACTTTAGCTTTTTGTGATGAAAAAATATATTTTTTCTACACAATTCACAGCCAAGCGATTACTCGATTAATCGTAAAAATAATTGATAGATTAATCGATTACAAAATAATCGTTAGTTGCAGCTCTATATATCTATGTGTGTATGTCTATGTATGTATGTCTATGTGTGTATGTCTATGTGTGTATGTCTATGTATGTATGTCTATGTATGTATGTATGTATGTCTATGTATGTATGTCTATGTGTGTATGTCTATGTGTGTAGGTCTATGTATGTAAGTAAGTAAGCTTTATTTATATACCGCCTTTCACAGACCAGAGTCACAAAGCGGTTTACAATTGTTATTATTTTTTGGGCATTTGTCCTCTCACTCCACACGGAGATGGGAGCAGGGTCGCCGAACAGGAGGCGCATGCCAGACCTATTGTACATATTTTTAGTGGTAGGGGAAACCGGAGTACCCGGAGGAAACCTACGCAGACACGGGGAGAACATGCAAACTCCACTCAGAAAGGCCCTGGTCCGGCCGGGATTCGAACCCAGGACCTTCTTGCTGAGAGGCGAGAGTGCTATCCACTCAGCCACCGTGTCTATGTATGTGTGTCTATGTATGTACAGTGCCTTGCGAAAGTATTCGGCCCCCTTGAACCTTTCAACATTTCCCCACATTTCAGGCTTCAAACATAAAGATATAAAAATATTTTTTTTTGTCAAGAATCAACAACAAGTGGGACCCAATCGTGAAGTGGAACGAAATTTATTGGATAATTTAAACTTTTTTAACAAATAAAAAACTGAAAAGTGGGGCGTGCAATATTATTTGGCCCCCTTGCGCTAATACTTTGTAGCGCCACCTTTTGCTGCAATTACAGCTGCAAGTCGCTCTATCAGTTTTGCACATAGAGAGACTGGAATTCTTGCCCATTCTTCCTTGCAAAACAGCTCGAGCTCAGTGAGGTTGGATGGAGAGCGTTTGTGAACAGCAGTGTTCAGCTCTTTCCACAGATTCTCGATTGGATTCAGGTCTGGACTTTGACTTGGCCATTCTAACACCTGGATACGTCTATTTGTGAACCATTCCATTGTAGATTTGGCTTTATGTTTTGGATCATTGTCCTGTTGGAAGATAAATCTCCGTCCCAGTTTCAGGTCTTTTGCAGACTCCAACAGGTTTTCTTCCAGAATGGTCCTGTATTTGGCTCCATCCATCTTCCCATCAATTTTAGCCATCTTCCCTGTCCCTGCTGAAGAAAAGCAGGCCCAAAGCATGATGCTGCCACCACCATGTTTGACAGTGGGGATGGTGTGTTCAGGGTGATGAGCTGTGTTGCTTTTACACCAAACATATCGTTTTGCATTGTGGCCAAAAAGTTCAATTTTGGTTTCATCTGACCAGAGCACCTTCTTCCACATGTTTGGTGTGTCTCCCAGGTGGCTTGTGGCAAACTTTAAATGAGACTTTTTATGGATATCTTTGAGAAATGGCTTTCTTCTTGCCACTCTTCCATAAAGGCCAGATTTGTGCAGTGCACAACTGATTGTTGTCCTATGGACAGACTCTCCCACCTCAGCTGTAGTTATCTGCAGTTCATCCAGAGTGATCATGGGCCTCTTGGCTGCATCTCTGATCAGTCTTCTCCTTGTTTGAGATGAAAGTTTGGAGAGACGGCCGGGTCTTGGTAGATTTGCAGTGGTCTGATACTCCTTCCATTTCAATATAATTGCTTGCACAGTGCTCCTTGAGATGTTCAAAGCTTGGGAAATCTTTTTGTATCCAAATCCGGCTTTAAACTTCTCCACAACAGTATGTCGGACCTGCCTGGTGTGTTCCTTTGTCTTCATGGTTCTCTCTGCGCTTTAAACAGAACCCTGAGACTATCAAAGAGCAGGTGCATTTATACGGAGACTTGATTACACACAGGTGCATTCTATTTATCATCATCAGTCATTTAGGACAACATTGGATCATTCAAAGATCCTCACTGAACTTCTGGAGTGAGTTTGCTGCACTGAAAGTAAAGGGGCCGAATAATATTGCACGCCCCACTTTTCAGTTTTTTATTTGTTAAAGTTTAAATTATCCAATTATCCAATAAATTTTGTTCCACTTCACGATTGTGTCCCACTTGTTGATTCATGACAAAAAATTTAAATGTAATATCTTTATGTTTGAAGCCTGAAATGTGGCGAAATGTTGAAAGGGTCAAGGGGCCGAATACTTTCGCAAGGCATGTATGTATGTATGTCTATGTATGTGAGCGGCTTCTTACCTTAGTTATTTTTATAGATCCATGCCGCAGATACAGTCACACTCACCTGTTATAGATGCATTCATATTCACTTCTGATATATATATAATATAGATACAGGTACAGTCACATTCACTTATGGCATAATAATGCGTCGGTTTTATTTAGCGCTTATTTGGACACTCAAAGACGCTTAACATGTCATTATTCTTTCCCTCCATACACGGTGGTGATAAACTACTGCTGGAGCCACAGCTGCCCTGGGTCACACTGACAGAAGCGAGGCAACCAGTCTGTGCCATCGGCCCCTCTGACCACCACCAACCATTCACACACACACCAGACTCATTCTAGGCAATGGGGGTAAAGTGTCTTGCCTAAGGACACAACGGCAGTTTGGTACTTTACAGCCGCAGCCGCCCCACTGTGGCTGGTGTTCCCAGAGGTTAAGTGTCTTGCCAAGGACACAACGACACCAGACAGAGGGAGTCGATGGTGAAAGTCTTAAGGTGGGCTCGAACCCACGACCTTCTGGCTCAAAGGCCAATGCTCCACCAACTGAGCAACTGTCGCCTGACTGCATACTTACAGATACAGTCACATTCACTTATGTCTGACCAGTGGCTGAAAGTGTTGGAGTGTCCCTTTGACTCACGGGTTTAAAATCTTTCTGCACAGATTTAGGTTTTTCAAAGATTTATATTCAGTAAGTGTCCTTCCTTTCTATGACATGAATTATCCAGTCGTTTAATTCCGCTTTAAGAGACATACAAGGGAGGGAGACACTCCTCCAGGGCTTCCTCTTGTGTCAGTATCAAACCGCTCCTCAAAGGGCCAGTGTGGCTCCAGGGTTGAATCCCAAACCAAGCAGGAGCACACCAGACCCATTTCCTCAATGTGGAGGAGCGCAGTGGCTCTATTCTGAACGCGCCCAGGAAGTGCCCAGCCCTCTGTTATTGAAAACGTTGACTTGTAAAACATTGACAGTTCCCTCTTGTTATAGAAATCTTATAGTAAAACAATCTTTTGAGCGTCTTTGAGTGTCCAAAAAAGCACTATGTAAAACCGATGCATTATTATTCAATTTAAATAACATCAAATAGTTATAAGCGTTATTGCCAATCCTCAACTCTTGACTCAAATACAGCCCATATTATCTGTTGTTCTGTTAGATGGGACACATGTACTCGACAATATCTGTGAGCAAGGACAGCATTCCCCAGGACAGAGTTGTAGCAGCGTTAGGAAACGTAGATCTCAATGCTAACTTAATTTGTTTTATGTCTAGAGTAGATATGTCTTTATTAACTCTTGTTTAATTTAATGTGTAGACTAGTCATTTCCTCATTCAGGGCAGACAGTTTTAGACCGCTGTCAGGTGGTATTGATGACGTGGTCCCTTTTTTGTTGTATACAGTGCACTTTTACTAATGAATAAACTCACACTTTGATTGTGTTGCAGATCTTGGTTGTTAACATTGTTTATGCTCTCGGCCTGTGCAGAAATGTCACAACACTGTCAATGAAGTCATGAAGATTGAAAATCACACATTGGGGAATAAAAGAGTATTCCTTTTCTTTTTTTCACAGTCTGATGCTCAGAGGAGGTACTGAGAAAACTCCTATACAAATCCTTCATGAGTATGGTACCAAAACTGGTGACCTACCTGTGTACCTGCTGGAGAAGTCTGAAGGAGAGGCTCACCAGCCCAGCTTTGTGTTCAGTGTGCAGGTTGGAGAAGTGAGCTGTACCGGTACGTGGACCACACTTTCAGAATACTACTTAATGTACGCTTATCAGATTTTAAATATCAGACAATGTTTATAATTTGTTTTATTACATTTACAACATCAGTGTTTTCTGGTTTGCTTAGATTTACGATCAGCTGTAAACCTTCAGAGTTCCTCAATGCTTTGACAAAGGGTCATCTGTTTGTGAATTTTATTTCAGGCCAAGGCTCAAGTAAAAAAGCAGCAAAGCATCAGGCTGCTGAGGCTGCTCTGAAGATTCTGCAGATTGATGGAAGAGCACAGTGAGTTTCAAAGTCATCAAGTCATTGTAATGCTGACACAGTATTAATGTATAAATGTCACTTATGTGCTTGAAAAATAATAAGTCATATTATGCTATGTATATATTTATCACATGCGGTATTATAAACAATAATTGACACAATTCTTGACCATTGAGGTTCCTTATTAACCCGGCAGAGTAACGGCTTTGTGTGTGTTTGGTTTAAGTGCAGGGTCTTAACCTAAAGAGCCAGAGGCTCTGAATGCTGATCTGTTGCAGCTGCAGTAACTGCCTTGATGTTATTCTCAACAGGAACATCCCTGTGAAGTCCGAGAGCAATGGTGTAGCAGCCGACACCAGCAACTCGGTGGGGAAACTGCAGGTGTTGTGCCAGCTCTGTCTTTATGCAGAAACAGATGTCATCAATTATAGATATGATTATATCTATAATAGCGTTATATTATTATATTAACTATTAACTGTATTATATAGTGAGATTAATGATAATTCAACACAGTTTAGAAGTTTTCCTGTCTGTAATAATTATAAGATTGTATTTACTGTAAATAAATGTTTTTGTTTCTCTGTAGGAGATTGCTTTACAGAGAGGCTGGCGTCTGCCTGAATACACAGTAATGATGGAGGCCGGCCCTCCTCACAAACGAGAGTTCACAGTTACGTGTCGAATGGAGTCTTTGACTGAGAAAGGTACATTTGATTATTATTGTTAAGACTGTAAGAACCAATACTAATCTTTCTTAATTATTCTCTGGAAATCAGCAATTGGAAACACTAAGAAATCGGCAAAAAAAGCTGCTGCAGAGAAATTGATGGCAAAGCTACAAAGCCTCTCTGATAGTTCTGAAATAACATGGGTATGATGAATACTTCCCGCCTCTCCAAACGGTACGGCGAGGTTTTGTGACCTGACTGTTTCATTTTTCAGACACTTAAATCAAGCATTCGGCTGGACAACCTGCGCATCTCAACAGCTGAAAAAATATCTCTATTAAGAAGAAACCCACTAAGCATTCCAAACACAGATTACATCCAGATGATGCTGGACCTCTCCAAAGAACAAGGCTTTGAAGTCACATATTTTGATATTGGTAAGAGATGCCATGCAAGTCAAGAATGTAACAACTGTTGGGTTTGTGTGTCATCATGAGCTTTCTTTTCTCATGACAACGTTGCAACACAAATCATGACTATCTGTGCTTATTGCAGTTGGAGCCACAAGCATTAGTTTGAATGATAATGACAGAAAACATGTTTATAAAAGAGTCAAGTGGATTCATTCAGTGGACTTGATCTGGAGTGTGATGTTTTTTTTCTTGCAGATGAATTAACTGTAAATGGCCAGTACCAGTGCTTGGCAGAGCTGTCCACCTCTCCGGTCACCGTGTGTCATGGCACCGGCATTTCCTGTAGTAACGCACACAATGACGCCGCCCACAACGCCCTGCAGTACATCAAGATCATGGCCTCCTCAAAGTAAATTGTGTCGTTATAATCAGGTGCATCATCAGCAAACCCCTTTGTGTCATTCTTCACACAATTCATTTGGTATTGAAAAAGATATACATTTTTATGGGATGGACCTTTTTATCCCCCTTGTCAGTTTTGGCTCCACTCTAATTCACTATAATTTGTTTATATCACATGATCAGGTTTATCACAGCGACACCATGTGAGTGCAGCTGAAACATCTGGTTCACACTTGTTGGTTTGCTTTTACTCGACCAAGTCAGGAACAGAATCAGATTTTTTTATTAAGTAACAAGCAGTCACAAACTAGGAATTTGCTTTGGCTCACGGTGCAACAAAGTTATAAAAGTAAAACATATATACTGTATGTATATATTTAGTATTAGTATTTTTTTGTATTTGTATTTATTTATTTAAAGACTGGTAGAGTGGATTTAATTGAACCAGAAGTTATGGGAATGTGAATTGTTAATTGGGTGAGAGCACACTTTAGGGGTTTCCAAAGAAGACACACACATTTAATATAAAAAGTAGAATAAAACAGTCAAAGAAATGCCCAAATATAATGTGTTAATCTAAAAAGTTCAGTAAAAGCTAAGTGCCCGGGGTTCCCGGTGCGTGGTCCTTTTTCCGCCCGTGGCGGCTTTGGCAGCTGCGGTGACGTGGGCTCCTTAGTCCTTTTCCCACTCGCCACACTCTGGTGTCTTGGTTTGACAGGGCTCAGTGATTGGGGAAAGGGTCATGTGATACTTTGAAGTGGCAGTGCGAATTAATAAAGAGTTAAAATGCACAGCCACATAAACCAATAACACACTACAATGGCCACTTCTGCCGGATGACATAAGAACACACAATAATGATAGGACTATAAGGTGACGGCCATAAAGGGCCAACTGGCCCTGAGGGGAAGAAACCCGTCTTATGGAAAGAAGTTCTGGTCAATTCTTTTAGTGTTTTACAAAAAAAGTTTTTATTTGTGGATGTAAAATCACCAAACAAGTCAAAATTTGTCATTTGAGTCTCCTTAGGCAGGGCAAGTTTATTTGTACTGCACAATTCATACACAAGGCAACTCAAAGTGCTGAACAAAACAAACTTACACCTTTTTCCAACAGAAGTATTTACTCCTAAAATGAACCAGACTTGGTCCAGTTCCCGAAGTGAACCAGACCAACAAGTGTGACTGCGCCCACATAGGTCAGTATTGTTCTCTCCCACACCTTTTACTTATTCAGTATGAAGTACAAGCAATAAACACAGACTGAACCATTTGGAAACATGAACTGGCGGAACTCGTGTACATACTTTGTAGCAATGTACAATTTTAGTGACCATTTTGATGTGATTATAATTTATTGGTTTTCTACATTGTTTTGTGAATTTCTGCTGTGCTGTGTTTGGATGTCAACAGGCCTTTTAGTTTTGTAGTTACAAATGTCCGTACACACTGCTTGGAAATCATGAACTTTTTGCATCAAAGCAGTAAATAATGCAACTAACGATGTGTATTATATCTCGTTCCTTTTTCCCTTTTGTGCCTTTGTACTCGAAACATGTTTTTGCTTGAACACTCCAGCAGTGGTGGTTCCAATTATTTCATTTTTTGTTACTAAAATACTAATTATTTAAAGTACAGCCTGTTAAACCATCATCTAAAGCTAATAAATGTCATCTACTGCTCTATGTATACTGAAATTAATGTGAAACGAAAATGAAAAATAAACAGCACATAAAATATACAGCACTTTTTGGCACATTGTTAGTACTATCGTGTGGCAATAAAATCTTTTCGTATATGGATGAGGATAAAAAGTACCCATTTGAAGCCAAAATTAAGGATCTGCATTTTACTCAATAAAAAAACCTTACTTACCAGTGACCACCGCTGCTCTTGGAACTTGAGAAACTTGTGCAGAGTGTTGGTCTTGTGTTTCTGCCACAATGTAAAGTAGTTACTGACATTCACTTGATGGCGTGTTGCAGGTCAGAATAAAATCATGTACAAAGCGAAGAAATGTGTCCTGGCTGTAAAAACAATATTAACCCTAACTCATTTATTAATTCATTTAACCTGGACAGTTCTGCTCTGGCCCCACAGTGGAGGTGACACAGTAACTATTTCCTCTCAGCAAGAAGGTCCTGGGTTTGAGTAGAATTTGCATGTTCTCCCCGTGTATGTCAATGGTTTCCCCTATACCACTATAAACATGAACTTTTTCAGTACCACTTACATAATGCTGGTATCTGATATCGGTGCTGGTATTGGGAAAGAAGTTGGATCAAGTATCGCTTCTAATATATCTGTTAAGCCTGATTGGGCCTTTCAGACTATTTACTTGCTAAAATTATTCCAGAATGTCCCATGTTGTCACCATAAACGGTATATATAGGTACTCCATACAGCAGGCGGGCCTTCGATATGTCCTCTGCTTTGTTAACCCAAATTAGAAAACATAAACCGTGTCATCCAGCCAACTTCAGCTACGCCAATCCAGACATGCTTTAACCACAATGTAAAGCTCAGCACCTCTGGAATCCAGTAATTTGTTTATATTTGCATATACAGACATTTGTTTTTGATTGTGTCATATAATTGTGTATGTGGCGCTTATGTAACCGGTGCGATCGTAAACGTTCTTCAATCAGTTCAATCAAATGTAAATAAGGACATGTTGGACCTCATTTGCTCTGGCTTTTATGTTTTTTTTTTCTTTATCGCTGCATTTCCTGTGTTTGAACTGGTTGGTTTTCTGATCTGCTTTGGAGATCTTTGTAAAGTCCCCTGTGATTTAGGGCTGTACAAAAAAATGTAATTGAATTTTACAGAGCACAACAGCCTGAAAACAGCCACATTTTTATTTTACAATCCATGAGGTTGGACAAGTCTGGTGCAACTAAAGTACAAATTTTCTACACTGATTTTAACCATTTAGCTGTGATTTGTCCCTTCACTAGTATCACTTCACATCAGATTGTTTGCAGACTTCAAAATAGAGTGGCTGTTCTTTAAATGCATGTGTATATGTATTATGCAGAAGTATTAAATCATGACAGACAGGCGTTGGTGTTTCAGTTTTATTAGAACTAGCACTATGTAGCAGCAGTGTAGTGTCGATGGAAAGATATGTTCTTGTTAAAATTGCACTTCAGAAGTTTCCCATTGGAAGATTAGAAATGAACTGATCTGACATAGTGCTTTTTGTGAGACATGTCAGTCTGCAATGAGACAATTCTGCAAACAGGCCTCATAAGGCGTCCACAACATTCATTCATTCATTGGCGAGCAGTGTAATCTAGACATGCAGCTAGAACAATGGATGATCTCTATCTTAAACGTTGTTACTCTAACATCCTTTCACCCTGAAATTCAAAAAATCAATGGCTAATTTCTTTTTTTGTCGTTTATAGTCTAAAGCTCTTGTATTTACACTGAAGGTTTTACGGTTATGTTTGGAGAAGCACGGCAGTAGGTCATCTAAATCTGCAAGCACTTTGCACTGGTTGCATATTCCACTGAGATGACGACGTGAGTGGAGACTGGCTGCTTATGGGAAATACCGTTCTCTGTATGAGGGAATCCAAAAGGGTAATGCAATAGTCTTATTTATTAAGGCACAGGAAGTGGAATCAATGGTGACAAAGAATTGGCATTACATTTTTTTTCTTTTAGCGCTGTATGAAAATAATCTAATGTTAAAGTCAATAAAAGCATTTTCTGGTTTTCAGAAGGTCGGGAAGCACAAAGGGACCCTTGTGCCTTTATCTTTTCTTTTACAATTAAATCACAATAATAATCCCCTCAAATTATGAATAATACAAAACTTAAGTGAAGAATCATTTCTAATATTTGGTGTAGTTTAATTTACGTTTAAAATAATGGTCGGGATTATAAGTATTTATAGGACCCTAGTCTGTAAAAGGCAGATCAACATGAATATAGTGGGGAACTACATTATTTTGGGGTCCTCTTTAGTTTCAGATAATTCTAAAACAAATATCATTAAAATCACAAATGCAATGTGACAGGCCGTCCAGCAGATGGCTCCCATCACTTAAGTCTTTCGTTTAATGGAAAACACAACTTTCCAATGAAATGACAGTGAACAAACAAACAAAAGGCGTTCGTTATTCTGCTTTGGGTAATTACATAATTGTGTTGCTTAAGCACAATCTGATCATTCTGGATACATATTTTTTCATCTATATTTAGAAGGCTCATTACATTCTTTGGCTTCTTCACATTGTAATTGTGTAGTTGTCGTTGTTGTTGTAAAATTAGAGTAAAATTGCACCATAAAGTAACTTAAATACATCTTTCTTAAGCAGGATTGGTTGGAAGTTGGAAGAGGGCATCTGTGGCTGGTGGTTACAACACTGACCGTAATAAGAGCCAAAAGTTCATCTTTCTTCAGCTGTATGATTCAAACAAACATGATAACAATGTGTAACTTAAAAAGAGTTTGAATACACAAGTGGGTGAGTAGTCTGGATGACAAGTGAGTAGAGCGGCTTCAGGTTTCTTCATGTGACCCTGTCAAAAATAAACCAGAGCCTTTTTAGCAGTTGAGCTGTTGTGGAGTACGTTGTGAAATAGCTGTATTTTTTCAGTAAAAGCTTCAAACAAACCATCAGAAACAATTTCTTACAGCTCATCTAATGCTTGTTTTGATTTTTCCATTTGCGAGAAACTACCTTTACAGAAATCCAACTTAATTAAAAGGCAATAAATAAATAAAACTTGCCAATAATTAATCTCCATCTCACTATGGTTTCACTCATAGTCAATTTTTTTTAATATATAAAAATACCGCTTTTTTCCTACAATTATTTAATAAATAATGCTCAATGCCAGTAAGAGCTGCACTTAAAGCATGCATGGTATTGAAATAAATATAAAAACCCTACTAATCTAAGCCAAACAACAGTGAGGAATAAGATTTTGTCTCATCTACACAGCACTACTGTCTGAGCTGCAGGTCTTTTTAAGGCAAGGACAGACGATTACGAGCTGAGGGGCAAATGCACAGGAGTGGTTAGAGTGTTGCCCTGACAACCCAGCGGAATAGAGCACAATGAAGGTGACCCAAGGGTGTGTCCATGGATGGGTGACAGAATGATGGCCTCTAAGCCTCGACCACGACCCTGGTCCTCTCTCTGCTCTCAACCATGCACCCAGGTTGTAGTCATACCTTCACCCCACTCCTTTTTGTGCATAGGTAGGTAGCTCCTTCATGTCTGTGATTATTACGAGTCTATGGACTACCACAGATGTACAGTATCCTCCATATTGATAAAGCCAGGATTCCTACGCAGCTCCCAGTATGTGTTGTTGGACACCCAGCGTTCTCTGCGGTGGACGTCGACCACTTTCCTGAAAGAACAGGGAAAAAAGTGACTATTTAATTCCAGTTACATAGATAAAAACCTCCTATGGTAAAGTTCTGAAAATTAGCATGGTCTTGCTATAAGACTAAAGGCAGTGCATCTGGTCTGTCCGATATAACTGTGTCCATATCAAATAAAATAAATGTACTGCAAATGGCAAATAATGTCATGGTGTGGATTTTGATTTTGTATTTTGCTTTTATTTTGAAATTAGTTCTGTGGTTTTGTTTCAGTTTGACTTCCAGTCCTGTTTTCCCCTGTCTTGATTGTGTGCCCCGCCCTGATGTGTTTCACCTGTGTCTGTGTCTATATGTACCCTTTGCTTCTCTCCCCTTGTTGCTGCTTCATTGTTTTGTCATGTTCTGTCCTGGTTACTTTGGATTTCTGGAGTTTGTTTTTTTGCCTTTGTTTTATTAAAAGCTTTATTTTGGCACTCCTGCATTTGAGTCCTCACTCAGTTCACCCCGTGACAAATAAACTGAATCCGTTCACGCGTCCTCTTCACTCACTTGAAAAAGCGTGGCTCCTGCCTGATGTTGTTCTCCTCATTCCATTTCCGCCTTGCTCTCTGCAGATCCTCTATCCTCTGTTTTTCTGAGGCTGCCATCTCAAGATTAGCTTCCTCCAAGTATCTGTTCAGCCAAAGTAAACAAACAACAGTTGCACAAGACGTTCCAAAACACCCACAAAACAGAACAAGAGAATTCCCGGTATGTTACCTTTGATCTGGTCTGAATCTGGCATCGGTCCGTGGTAGGGCGTCTTTCAATTCGGGGCATAATTCATTGAGTTCGATTGCAAACCTAGTGAAGCCGTAATATAACTCGTAGTCCGTGGGCATGGAGCCTACACAGAGAACAAGAGAAGCATAAGAATAGACCATAGAGTGAGGTGTGGAGACAGTGATAAAAGGCAGTGGTGATGACCCCGGACACTCTACATTTATGGACTCTAATAATAATATATATAGATATTGGTCGTCTGCTCCTTATGGACCAATGGCTCTATGTGTTTTTTTATCATCACGTTACTTGTGTTTGAACTGTTTCATTCTCTGATTTGTGTTGGCAAATTGATGGTTTTGTAAAGTCCTCCGAGATAACTACTGTTGTTATTAAAGGCTATTATACAAGAATAACTTGAATGGCTTGCCTGGTCTCCAGACGCATTTGGCAGAAGGTGGGACTCCACAGTAAAGCCCTTCGTGCCACTTCCCAAAAAGTCGATGGATGACTTTTCCTTCTTGATCCATCACAAAGCCCTGCACCTCATTCACGTTTGAACTCCAGTAGTTTCCCTGTAACGACACAACGCTGGCTTTAAAGATGGTAAACGTCATTTACAGGGACGGTAGCGCCGCATTTCCTCACCTTGACAAAAGTGAGTTTGCAAAGACAGGCACTGCTCTTTGTGTTTCGGATGGTGATCTCTCCGTAGTGTTCAATCCACCTCCGGCCACTCAGAATGTTGTGTACGCAGGTCGTGACTTTATTCCACTCATAGTGATCTCCAAAGCTACAAAATAAAAGTAAATAACATTTTAATGATATTGAAAATCCTCTGAGTTAGCCTGTCTTGCTGTAGCACGTTGGCGTATACTATTCTGTAGCCAATTAGTCTTGAGTACAACTTTCTGTCCTTATAATTGATTTGCTCACCAGCCAACATTTGAAATTATTTTTTAATTTTTTGGTTTAGCACTCACAAAGAAACCAGAAGCGCGACTTTCACCTACAAGAGGCATTTACTGTAACTCCCTTTGACATGGTTTGTATTGTAACAAAGAATGGATGATTGGTAACAGTCCCAGTGGATTAAACAATAAAAGGAATTATATTTAACCCTGTAGAACCCAGACATAATGATATTTGGTGAAAAAAATTATCCGTGCTATTTTTGGAAAGCAGCATTCAATGACCAAATTTGGCAATGCGGCATATTTGCTTCTTCAGGTTTGTGGGTACATACATTATTTAATGCATTAAACCAAAGAATCACACTTATTTAGACATAACCGTTAGACTTAATGTTGCGTATTTGTAACTGAGGGTGCTACGGGGTTAAAAGTGTAGTTACGTTTTGGGCCAATGACCTTCAAGCAAAATCCATTCATTCTTAGAAAATAGAAAAAAAAGGAAAGACCGATAAAGAGGTATGTTTGAAATAATTAAACAAGCATATTACCTTGGGATTGTTAGATTCACAGACCCGATAGGTAATATTTCCATGGACTTTCCCCAAAATTTGTTTTTCCATCTAACATCTATAAAAATGGAAACAATACAAAAGAAGAGGGAGGATAAAAAAGCATGTTTTACCGTGACACTATTAGGAACTAGGCCTTACCTTGCCAGAATGTAAAGTTCTTGGACTCGCAGTGGCACGCTGAGACGGGAGGATGGTGGCTCACCTTTGAAACGGGAGAGACCACTTTAAAAGCAGCTCAAAGTGCTGCATAATACATATATTATACATAATACATGCACTGTATATTTCATCTCATGTCACATGTTCATTAGGTTATCATTCTCACAAACTAGTCATTTTACCACAGCATTTGAAGCGGTACAACGGGAACTACATGTCCTCTCATCTGTAAATAGTAAATACTCTTTATCTCTTTTAATGCATTGTTATTTATTATTTTAATCCCTTGATTTGTGTGATTTTATTGTTTTAATGTTTTTAATTACCTGTGTGATTTTAACTGTGGTTTTAAAGGTGATTTAGGTGTTTTATGTGATGATTTCTGCCTTGTGTGATGTGGACTGTGAAGCGCTTTGTGTTATCCTGTGTAGGAAAAGCGCTCTATAAATAACAATTTATTGATTTGAAACTGCAATTACGTGCAATGTGCAATTCTGCAATTTCGGAATGTTCACTGAGTGTCCCTTTATCGACTTATTATCCTGCCAGATATGTGTATATAAATTACTCTCTCTCTCTATATATATATTGATATTTATTTGCTGCTCTTATGAAGCATTTGCAGCTAGCAAAGAAGCATAGCAGCTAACTGTATGGTATATTTTGTGTGCTCCCTGTGTTATCTACTGTCTGTATGTGCGCTGCAATATTGACATTTCCCCACTGTGGGATGAATAAAGGTTCTCTTATCTTATAGAAATGAGAAAATAATAGTATTAATAACATGAATACCTGTTCCGAGAAGAAACAAAAGCCCTTATCTTCTCGAATACATTCATAAGTCTCTCCCAGTAGCGGGTTGAATGGCTTACTTCCTGCTCTGTAGTAAGTGGAGGAGTAGCCTGAGACGGCAAACGCAGCCACTAAAACCTGTTTGTGGAGATAAAATGAAGTAAATCAGAGCGTTAGAAACAGCTCCGACACGACGGCAGGTTAAATAGGTTCTCATAAGTGGCTTCATTTATCAGCATTCATACAACACAACACTCTGAGGCTCTGAGGTCGTTACCATGCGTTCGAAAGGGTTCTCTGTCTCTGCAGCCTTGTCCAGGAGCTCACTGTACTCCAGCTCCTCGCACATGCGCTGCAGTGTGTTCAGCGGCTCGTTCAGCTCCACGGGCATGGACACTTTGGACAGGTCTTTGCCGATATTGTTCCTCAAGATGTTCCACAGGTTTATGTTGCTGGTGTCCGGGCACGGAGCGGACAGACAGGTGCGGCGCCCGTTGCGAAAGGCACTGCCAGCAAAGTCCCCGTTTGCCACTGGGGGAAAAATAAATAAAGAGGGATGTGTCAAAGTCTGGCTTTGGTCAGTTCTAAACTTGGCTCAGATGCATGTACTGTATGTAACCCTCTAAGGCTGCGGTCACATGTGCAGCCTAAAGCCCGGTTAAAGTGTGCCAGGGCCCGCTTCGCGATTAGATCTGGGCTTTAGGTGCAATGTAACCTAAAGCCCAGTTACGTGCCTCAGCACGATTCCAGGATCGTGCTGAGGCACGGATCAAAACTGCGGCCAGGGCCCGCTTCCCATAGCGCGGATGAGGGGGGTCAGTGTGGCGGGTGGTGGGGAGTGGGGGATTAGGTGTGGTGGGGACTTGATATTGTGCATCACATTACGTCTTCCTGTGACACGCATTTTCACACAGTCTCTCCCTGTACTTTCGCATTCTCCGCTGTGTTAAACCTTTCATATAAGCCCCAGACCGTGGTACATCCTCTCTTCTGTCCTGACCCTCGCTCTCAGTGTGGTGCTATTGCAGAAACACTTCAGACATTCAAGAATCATTCTTTATTTAATCGCCAGAACACACACGCACGCTCCGGTCGCTCGTAGCCACTTTTCTGTCTTTCATTCATTCATTCTCAGCACTTTAGGCTTGTAACTATAAAGGCGCGCTCCCGTGCCCGGCGCGCCCGCACACACACACGTGTCCCACCGCTGTGGCGATGATCCTGGCCACTAGGCCTGGTTCTTTTGTAAAAACCTATGTGACCGTGCCCTAAACTTCTATTTAGAGTTCTACAAAGATTAAAGTTGGAGTACCGAACTTTGAAACCACAAACAAAATCACTACTTCCTCACTCTCAAAACTGTTTGATTGTATGACTAGTTTTACCATGATCAGCTTTTAGTGAGAGTACCAGGCTTCAATCAGCTCTCAGTATGTAAAATATAACATGTTGTGGTCTGATTTGTTCACAAAATGTGACTTAAACAAGATTATTTCTGTTGGATAAACAAAATGTATTTACTTTAACTATCATACCATTTAGGGATGTAAAAAAATATGAATTTTCATGACCGACCACCGAGCCTCATTAACCGGTTGAAACCGGTTAACCGCGTAGTTTAAAATAGTCCACGTTCTTTGAAATAACAGTCATTTTGAGCCGCGTACTTTTCATAAGTGCAGCTCTGCGTTCTACTGGATCAGAGTTGAGACAGCGGCGCCCAAACCCGCAACAGCTCCGGCACCTTTGCGCACAGAGAACTGCTTTTTTAATCTTCCCATTCTGCTGTGCTGCGGGTTAATACCAAAACTTTCTAGCAGCAAACGACGGCTCGTTCACATGGTCAGAGCAGCGAGTGACGAGCCGCGTCTCACAGGTCTTCACAAAAGTTTAAATACAAGTGATGTGTGTGGAGCTGATCCCGAGGACCATAAACACAAACATGTTCCATGTGGTTTGACTGGAGCCGCGTATTTGAGGATCCTTTGGGCTCCGTGACACAGAGGAGCGCGACAGACCGGTATGTATGTATGCGTGTGTGTATGTATGTGTGTATGTATGTGTGTGTGTGTGTAAATGTAAGCTCCAATGTAGTTCTGACCCGCGCCAGTGTGCAACTTTGACGGTAACAGAGGGGAGAGATGATGCGTGTGGATGTTACGTATGGAGAGGGGGAAAGTGTGTGTGTGTGTGTGTGTGTGTGTGTGTGCGCATGCGTGTGTGCATATGTGGCTTGTGCGGCGTGAGAGTCGTCCCGGAGTTTATAATACATGGGCGCACACAGCTAGATACAGACCCGCTCGTCACACCGTGCAAATAGGGCTTAAAATAGCGTTATTAAGAGACCTCCCCTCTCCCCTTTTTCTCTTTTTTAACCGACAGCTTTGACCGGTTAACGTTGTGACGGTCAACCACCGGTTAAACGGTCGCCGATTTACATCCCTAACACCATTATCACTTCTCCTTTTTGGGTATTCCTTTCATTAACAAACAAAGCTTAGGAGAAACACAGTGCTTTCCTTGCAACGTCTAATTCTACAAACGCTGGATTGAATCTAAAATGTAAATAAATTATGTCATTCCTCTAATTCCCTTACATCATGCTGAATTAATACATTTGCCTTTCAAGTCCTCTGCCAGACCTTCAAGTGCCTCAGCCCTTTCATCATTATTAAGTGTGACGATGATAAAGAGGAATTCCACTCCTGCCTACTCACACTGCAGTTACAGCAGTTGGCAAAGAGCCCTGTGCGCCAGTATCTCGGTCACACTGATTAATAAACTCGTGAGTGTCGGAGTGTGCAAAGTGGGATCCCCTGCTTTCTTTTCCTCTCCAATGACGAGTTTGATGCTTGATTATGACTCGCAGTGATGCTGTACGTATATATGACCTACTTTGTCTGGAGACGTTGTCGGTGACACTGGTGTTGTCCTCGGATATGTTGTCGCTCACGTCACTCACATATGACTCATCGTCTGAGCCCTGCGAAGAGGGAAGTGGCACAACGTGGACCCAGTCAGGTAATGGAACAATACTGTCATAGTGTGGATTTTTTGCAATTTTCTACTTCATTTTGACTTCAGTTCTCTGTGGTTTTTAGTTTGACTTCCTGTTCTGTTCCCCTGTGATTTTTGTCCGCCCGCCCTGTGTGTTGCACCTGTGTCTCTCTGTGTCTATGTCCCCTGTGCGCTTCCCCATTTCTTGCTGGTCCATTGTCTTTGTCGGTCTACAATTGTCTATTTTCCTGGTTCCTGTATTTTTGTATTTCCCCCTGGACTTTTACTTATTTATCATCATTAAATGATTGTTTTTTACATTCCTGCATTTCGGGTCCTCCTTTGTTTCACCTTGAGACAGCTGATCTTTGAGCTTGGACACACTCTGATACTGCAGATTGTGACTGACCAACAAACTGCAGCAGGAGGCCACTATCTGTCTCACTGCAGTAATCATGAGAGGAGGCACTGCAGGGCTTTTAAACATAACATCTATATCGCCAACACTAATGTCAGCGCTGACAATGGGGATCTATAGAACGGCTATTCACAAATGTTATCTCTGAGCTGGAAGGTCAAAAACAATGAGAATGGTTTAATACTTGCTATTTCAATAGAGCAAGTTTTGAACCAATATGGCCACAGGTAATTACAGACCGTACATGTGAGCTATTGCCCGAATAAATTGTACCAATACAGCACTGGACAAAACTGGTCAGATTCTGGATAAAACCTTTAAGCACGGTCAACTTGATGCATGTACAACTTATCTGATCCACAAAATGTATATTGCTTATATCATATCAAGTTCCATGTAAATGTACAATATATCTGTCATATTTGCTCTATATCAAATATCAAACACAATTAATTAATGACCTAAAATTATTTTGCTGGTCCTCTGCATTTGACCCATCCATCCATTTTCTTCCCCTTAATCCATTTCTGGGTCGGGGGGGTGGCAGTCAGAGCTGCACCCAGTGCACATAGCACCAGCCCCTCACTGATCCTCCTGCAGGTGGTGAGTCCACAGGAGCTGAGATCTTTCAGTTGGGGCTTTGGGCAAAGTAGGGTTAAGTGTCTTGCCCAAGGACTCAACGACAGCAGTCATCAGTGGGAGTCGTGAAGTAGGTCTTACGGTGGGCTCGAACCCACGACCTTCAGGCCCAAAGGCCAATGCTCTACCAACTGAGCTACTGTCGCCCTCATTTGACCTATTATTCTAATATCTCTAGAGCAGAGGGCCATGGTACCCATGTCCAGATGTTGATGCTCAGCTTGATCAGGGAGCTGGAAGAATATCTAAGGTGTATGGAGGGCCTGAATGAGACCCACCAACAGCAGCTGTGAGGCATAAGCACAATCCATTACTGAAAAATACTACTTACACGCTAAGTTTAGAGTGTTATTGTAATACAAGTTTTACATGGAAGACAAGGGAGGCTAAAAAACAGAGGACTTGATGAATGTCAACAGGGAGTAATCCTTCAACATGGCTCAATGCAAGTCTATGGGAGCAGCAAAGCCAGAAGTGTCCCCTGAGAGCTTTTTCTCTTGAGGCTCAGGTTTAGAAGGGTAAAGATAGAGTGAAAAGTACACTGCAACTCACCGATTACAATTTTTCTTGACATTAACACAAAACTATTAGCAAAAAGTGTACGTTATCTCACTCCCCAGCAACTTCCCCTTCAACATCCTTCCTCTGTTAACAACGACTGTGTACAAGCGTAGTCATTGTGCAACCTCTATTTTCTAGTATTATACCTCATTTTCGGAAGAGCTGGCTGACAGAAGCACTTCCTGGGCATCGAAGAACTCCGAAACAGACTCTGACATGGACAGCCGACTCTCGTTGGAATCCTGCTGAGTCAGAGGGATCCCCATCTGTTCTCCAGCCTGAAGCACAAAATCATTATTAAAGGAAAGATACTTTTCAAACTAACAAGGACAGATTTAGAAACCGTTTGGCAACATCCCATCATAAATTCATAATTAGTCATTTTTTCCATTAACCTTGATGTCGCACGCCACATAATGATAATCCTTTAAGCTCACCTGTCGGGGATTACAGAAAGGACCATCAATTTGAGCGAGCCGGAATCAATAGAGCAACTGACAAATGCGGGAAGCAAGAAGCGCAACTAGAATGCTGGTCTTGGGAGCGGGAAATTAGCTCAGTCAGAAACAAAATGACCAATGTGGGACACACTACCTCGTCCGGTGTGGAGATAATATTGACGCTGACAACTTGGTCGGAGAGGACAGATTCAGAATGGATGCGGTTCAGACGGCTTCGGAGCTCCGCGTTCTGCGACACTGCCTGCAATATTAAAAAAAACAAGGAGATAGTGAAATTTCGTATCATCATTATTAAAGGTGATGTCTGCAACTTCAATTATATTTAATTTGGAAAAGAATTCATACAGTCTTGAACATTTGACCCCATAGTATCAGTATATTAAGTATTTTTCATTCTACATTTTTTCAAAACAGTTTCTCCCCTTGGCATAAGCATCAGCAGAAGTCACAATGCGATACTAGTTTAGGTGGGTTGAGCTTATATGATTTATTTTGTGGCCTGGAAACATTTGAAGGTCACCAGCCTGCATATGCTAGTAACACAAAATAAACAAAAGGCAGAGACCGCCGTCATTCTTTTTTCATCCAGGTGTAACAAAAAGTGTTTTAAGAAAATAGAAAATAAAAATGACTTGGATGGGAGGCACTATGCTGAAAACTGTAACAGTCTTGACAATGTTTTTGCTTTAACCTCTCCTTTTGTAAAACATCTTTGAGTGTCTGAAAGCTCATATAAGTTCAATATATTATCATTATTAATTAAAATCATAAACGTGAATATTATCAATCACGTTTCCATTGTGATTTTAATTAATAATAACTTCACTTTAAACTTTTGTTCAACTGTGTGTGATAGATAATGGCATTACTTTGCATTACTTTGCCATTATTAACATTTTTATAATAATCGTTTCGGACAGTTTTTATGAATGTATTACTTGTGAATCCGTGTACCCTTGATTCTTGTGTCTGCTCTTGTCTGGTTTTTCAAAGTTTTTTTAATCACAACTTACAACAATAAAATAAAGTAATAATAATAAAGTAAATTTGACCAGCTCTATCCCTTGTTCCTTTTGCGAAATAACCTCTAACCATGTCCTTCCCACGTCCAACCAGGAAGTAAAATTTAACTAAAGAAAACTAGGCATGTTCATTCAAATCAAATGACCTCTTACATTTGTTTTATTGAAATGCGTGGTATAACTTATGCTAATGCTTTAACCCTTTAGTCTCACTACCATTTGACTTTAAAACACTGACATATAGTATGGTCAGGAATGCCAGGTTGCTTGTTTGAGGGGGTTGGGTTTTAACAAGCAGATGTCGCACTAGAATTCCTAACATGTCTCCTACCTTTTAGTTCCTCCTTAGTCAGAAACTCAAACCCTGGCCCTGTTTGAGCCCAATTAGGGGCCGACTGTAGATAACAGAACACATTTTCATCTGAAATGCTGTCAGCTCTTAGAGGGAAAAGTCCAATTAGGTGACAAGTCGGAAGACAAGGCTAAGCAGCGGAGTTAATGAACTGCTCTGCATACTTCATCGGAGCAATTAGAAAACAATCATTTTGTGATCGTGGCTCACACATCATGCCTTCTGTTTGTGAAGAGAGTGTGTTTTGTCTGACAGCCTGTGATAATGAGCACAACAGATAAACAATGGATTTGAACGTGCGTGGCAAGATATAAATTACAGCAATGATTCATTTTTTAAAGCCTGAAGCAATGTTCCAAAACTGTTCTAAGTGAGAAAAACAACTACCATAAGTAACATTTCATCTTTAGTTTTTAATTATCCAGCAACTGTTTCGATGCGAGTGTATTCAGGTGTGAAAACTAAGCTTTGTGATTCCATTATCCTGACTCCATCCTCTTGCGTCTTGGCTCATCAGCTCATATAATGACACCTGTTTAATGGCAGTGGAAGCTTAAAGACTGTACAATGAGAACAATGGGAAGAGAGTTTAAACACATGCCATTCACCTGTTCCAATAATCCACTAGTCACTTACTAGTCGCTATAGTCACTTTACTTGGTGTATGGTGGATAGATAACTATGGCCTACGTAGGTGGACAAACGCAAGACTCTACAAGGACTCTGATTGTGTATCCATGTTATGACTATGATCTGTTCTGATTGTCTCTGGATGCGACACGTATGCCTTTTGATGAGTGACGTATCTGTGATGTAACAATGACTATATAAATCATGTCCTGACTTTGTTCTGTCTGAAAAAACTGAAACAACTGAAACCTGAAGGAAACTGAATAAACTTCCAGGAGCTCTGGTGCGCCACGATCCCGTCTCTGTGGTTAATCTACGACAGTTGTTATTACTACATTTTTACATATGCCATTCATCTGATATTTTTGTTCTGATAATTCACTAACATTTACCATTGTTTATTTATATTCCCTGCTGCTTGTACAATACAAACATCTGTAATTACCTACAGTGTTTACTCCACTAGTACTATCCTTGAACCAAGTGCAAGTATAGCTCGAGTTTTACTTTACTTTTTTATTTTGTTATTATTTACTATTTTATTTAATTGAATTATCTATTATCTTAAATAATAGATCCTGTTTGATGAGTGCTCTTATTTCCTCCCTTCTCATATTGTGCAGTAATGTCGAAACGATGACATTGAAATTTCCCCACAGTGGGACGATTAAAGGATGATTTTATCTTAAACATAAACGTTGATTTCCCAGTTACCTGTGAGAGCGACTTCCTGAGAGACGTGATCTGTGCTGCCTGGTCAGTCTGCTCCTGGTTGGACAGAATCTGCTTTATCTTCTGCTTCTCTATGGCCACGGTGTTAAAGGATGACTTTAGAAGAGAGTGGACTGGAAGAAATGTGGTAAAGGCAAGAAAGAGTTAGATAATATGTACTTTTTTAGACATTCAGGCCCCGTTTAGACGGAGACGCTGCAAAGCAATTAGCAAAAACGACCAGGCTTCTATTCAAGTGCACAGCGTCTACACAACGACAGAAGACAGTGTAGTTCTAGCGCCCGGCCAGTAGTGGGCAGTGGAATGTTACAACACGACACGGGTGACCCTCAAAAGTTATCCACTTCCTCAACAACATCCTCCTCGGGCCCCTACAAAGACGTTGTGTAGACGCTGTGCCCTTGAATAAGGAGCCTGGTCGTTTGTTGCTAAATACTTTGCAGCGTCTCCGTCTAAACGGAACCTTAGTCTTTTTTTTTGCTCCATTTTTTCATGGTAATGCAACAAAAACGAATGAAAAGAATATTTACAAAATACAAAAAAATAGCTCAAACCAGATAATATCAACTTTCCATTATTTATAGTAATAATTATTTATTATTATTATTATTCTCAATCCCACCAATAGTATTAATAATAACAATAATAATAATAATACAAACAATAACAACTATAATAATTATTATCACTACCATCATTTTCTTTTCCTTTTTTTTCATTATTATTATTTTTTATGAGGTCTACTTTCACTTTAAAAAGTCCAGGATGAAGCTTCTTATCAAAACAGAGTAAATCTTTGAAAGTGAGTCCAATTAAATGTGACTAGACATCTGTAATAGCTTCAGATTCCCCCGCTGCACGGACCTTTCTGTGCGATGGTGCAGAACTCCTCCTGTAGTTTGATGTAGTCACTGGTGAAGTCCACGCTGTCGGTGAGCTGCGACGCCGGGGGCTGGTCGTCCACGAGCTCCGCACACAGGTTTGGGTTGGACGAATGGAGGCGGAGTGCGGACATACTCGCAGACAGAGGGACCTGCAAACCAGACGGTGTTCCACAGACTTAGCATGAGGCTGCTCAAGCTTTACTTTACTCACGAGGTTACTGACTATTACGAAGGCGCTTGGCCAATTAGTGTCACCAGTGCACTTCAGCTGCCTTTGAGACATTCTTAAGGATAGAACAGGGAATAATAATCTGCCCACATGATTGTTGCCATCTATTGTTAGCTGGAAAATAAATAATGCATTCATATAATGATGTGGGCAGATTATAATGCATAAAACATATCTGGCCTCTAATGGAAATATTTAAACTAAACAACAAGAACTAGGGATGATACTTGGAACATTAGAATATTGTTCAAAAGTTCATTTATTTCCATAATTCAACTTAAAATATGAAACCAACCCTTGATATAGACTGCATGTTATAATTTTCATGATTATGGCTTGCACTCATGGCTCAAGGTCTTGTTCACGAGTAAGGGAAGGATGGAGCGTGGTAGACAGGTGGATCGGTGCAGCGTGTGAAGTGCTGCGGTCTCTGTATTGGACTGTTGTAGTGAGTAAAGAGCTGAGTCGAAAAGTAAAAGCTCTCAATTTAGCAGAAATCTAGTCTCCCCCTCACATATGGTTATGAGCTTTGGACCAAAAGGTTTGTATCGTGGATACTAGCAGTCGAAATGAGTTTTCTCTACAGAGTGGCTTGGTGCCTCTTAGAGATTGGGTGTGGTCTCGGGAGCTCGAAGTAGAGCCACTGCTTCTACACATTGAGAGGAGCCGTATAAAGTGGCACAGGCATACGAGCCCAGGGAAGACCCAGGACACGTTGGAGGGACTATGTCTCTCAGCTGGCTTGGGAACACAGGAGAGCTGGAGGTAGTGTGTGTGGAAAGGAAAGTCTGGGCGTCTCTGCTTAGACTGATGCCCTTGCGATCCAGCAACGGATTGAGCAGAAGTAAATGGATGAATGCCTCAGTCTACTTTCAAAACAAACATTTTTAAACATGTTTTATTTGGGGGTTTTACAAGCTGTGAGACAATTATCAACATTACAACAAATAAAGGCTTGATATGTCACTTTAGTTAGACGTAAATTGACTTTTGAACGATATTCTAATTACATTAATTTGTATGTACAAATAGCGCCACCATGCATCAGCCGTATGTCGTATGTATTTTTCATATTCAAAAATTAAAAAAGACACTTTTTAAATGGTATGATGAAATAAAGGTCAATGAGCAAAACGCATGCACAGAAGGTTCATTGAGAAATAATTACAAACAGAAATACACTAACAATGTAATTGACAGGGACATTAAGCAACTAGTATAATGATGTGTAGTTAGGCCCACAACCATAACCACCCATCAGAATCATTATACCTGTCACAAAACAAGTTTTATGCGAGTGTGATTGCTTATAGGTGATGGTGATGAGTACCTGAAGCTGGAATTTTGGATCTTTGCCGACACTTTTTGTTCTCCATCTTCTGTTCAAGCGCTTTTCTTTCTTAGACATTTCTACACAATTGGTCTAAGTGGCACATCAACACACAACACAGTGATTACAGTGAAATGGCTTTCTCGCACATGTTAGAACAAAAAGCAAACGGGTGAGCTGGGAACATAAGCAGTGCAAAATACAGAAGCAAATGATCAATTATGAAGAAGAAGTGATTCCATTCCAGGCAGCTCCACCCCCACACAGTGGCACTATGCCGCCTTACAATATTTACTTTATATCTACAACAAATATTTACCTGCATTTCACTGAAATTAGGGGCTGACTGGGTTCTTTGCAGTATCTCCAAACTTTGTAATAGTTGACTCAAATCCGTCAGGCTGGACTGGCATCGGGCGAGTTCTGACAATTACATTTACAGATGTCAAACATTACTTCACAAAGGTCTGGAGCAGGGCTGCACAATTTTGGACAATTATACATTTGCAATATTTCTGACAAATTTTGCGATGCAATTATCGATTTCTATGTTTAATAAGTAAAATTTTATTGAGAGTAAAAATAACAAATTTACAAAGTTACATACACCGAAAAATACAGCTTCAGAGGACACCGCACAAAACCTGCAAGAGCAGTATTGAGGCCTCCGGGAAGACCGCTGTAGTCCTCTGAACTCATCACTGCGGTGAACACAAGCCACACGAGTTTTCTTTTGACTTTAAATAAAGGTAACTGTCATGTTAAACTAACGCTTATATGATGTTGTTGGAGTATACACGCAGCGCCAAATTGCACACACGAATCACAGGACCAACGCACGTACAGTGGTCCTGTGAGGGACATTTTTAAGACCTGAGTTGTGCAACACATGTGTACACTCAAGATAGAAGTCTTATTTGGAATGAGAAAATAATGCCTTTGCCCCACAGCACGGCAGAAGATAATAGTTCCATTGATTATTCAAAACTCATTTTCTCAAACACATGTTCAGGTGATTTTCTGCTCTTTATTTTTGGTTTGCTAAGAACTTATTTGGGTTTAATTGTGCAGCCCTCGCCTGGAGGATTATTCCAGTCATTGTTTATTTAAAAATGAACCTACCCTCGGCGCACTTGTCCATCTCCTCCGACTCCTGGAGCCATACGGCCACCTTGCTCTGGCCATTGCTGTAGGAGGCCGGGAGGCTGCTGGGTTTGGCCTGCTGTTATTGAACCAGATAAAAAGGCCAACATATGAAAGTGTTATTTCATATTTGGAAATAATAATTGGACAGTAAATAATTGTGTGACTTTATATATATTCATAATGTATTTTAAATATATGTTTGATTATGACAGATTTAATAATTGTGATAATTGTATTACTAAAATAATTGTGATTTTTCTTTTTTATTGAGCCGTCCTACATCATCTGTAATGGGCCAATCAGACGGCACTTATCACTGGGCAACAATTCCACCTGAGGCTTCAGCTCTCACTCAGGTTCAGACACTTGAGATGGACAAACAAGCCATTCTGTTCTCTCGAGATCCAATTTCCGATCACTAAAGCTGCCCTTAAAATACAAATCAAGGACTACAACAAGGTCAACAAAGAAGACGACAGAAAAACACTTTCATGTGAGTTTTACATCTCCTGTTCTGTGATATTTCGGTCTACTCTATCCCCGTTTCTATTAAAAACAACTCCCAAGATAAACCCAGAGTGAAATAGATTCTGCTCAAGGCACATTTCATCAGGAACATTTTCCCTTTACCCCAAATATTCCTTTGAAGTTTGTGTGGAAACTTAATTTGGCAGCGGGATTAGCTGAAGAACTCACCTTAGCCTCAAGTACCAGAGGGGAAACATTTTGGGTAGACTCGATGGCGGTTGCGGGAGGAAAGGTCCGCATGGTGGCCTCTCGAGGAGATTTCACTATCTCATTCTGTCGGTAAAGCCGGTGGTGACGCAACTTGGACACCCAGGCATCAAAAATGTCTTGCGATTTGACCTAAAGTGAACCAGACAGGAAAATGGATGGTGTATTTGATGGTCTTATTAAACACGCTGATAGAATCGATCCATGTTACCTTCAAGTGATAGATGTGCTCCTCTGTGTCCAGGTCAATGCGCCGACTCCTCTTTTTAATTGACATGACAGAGAGACCCACGTCAATGCTGCCATGGAGTTTGCCTTTCTGGATCTAAGAAAGAATGATGTTTAGGAAGTGAATAAAACAAGGAAAAACAACAAGAGCAACAATAATAAACATGTTTAAAGTAGCAATATGTATGATTTTCATGTCTAGTGATCATTAAATGGTCCTAATCTTTCAAAAGGCATTAATAAACTATGCTCTTTTCAAATACGTCTTTAACTGATAACAAGAGTTCAGCCGAGATATTTGGATTTAAAAATTTGTTTTACAGCCCCTAAATCTTGTTATTGTTTTCATTTTGATGTCCCGCCCTCCACCGTTTCACCAATCAGAAAGTCCCTGATCCGGGTTGCCAGAACTCACTACACCGAGCTATTCGCACTGGTTAAGTAACATGTGGCTGCAGAACTAAAAAAGTTCTCGTTATAATTATCAAATCCTTAATGCAAGTTGTAAGTTTGTTTATTCGGTCATACTTTTTTTTTTTTGGACAAAAAAAAAGGAATTAAAAAAGGACAAGGTTACAAAAGCAATTTAGCTCAGGTCAGTAATGTCCGAACTTTAACATACAAACTTATTTGTGACCAAAGGCATTAGGCTGAAGTATAACTTATTTTTGCCTAATCCCTAATAAATGACAAAACAAGGAATAAAAATAGGATTTCTATATAGGCGACACAGTGGCTGAGTGGATAGCACTCTCGTCTCTCAGCAAGAAGTTTCTGGGTTCGAATCCCGGTCGGAACAGGCAAGGCATGGCAAGGCAAGTTTATTTGTATAGCACAATTCATACACAAGGCAACTCAAAGTGCTGAACAAAACAAGGGCCTTTCTGAGTGGAGTTTGCATGTTCTCCCCATGTCTGCGTAGGTTTCCTCCGGGTACTCTGGTTTCCCCTACCACTAAAAAACATGTGCAATAGTTCAGGGTGAATGAATGAGTGTGTGTTTGTGCGTGTGAATGTGGGACAACGGACGCAAATTAGCCCATGGCTACAATCCAGAGTGATGTGTTCATTAACATGTACTGTCCCAACCAAATAAAAAAATAATAAAAAAATTGGGACCTTTGTGAAAAAGGTGTTGGTTTTAAATTTGTTGATGACAAAACTCTTGTGTATTCAGATGTTCCCAGTTGGATTCATCTGCATATCTGGCAACCTGAGTCAGGAAGAGTGGGAGATGTTGCAGTACCACTTTTAGCCAGATTATTTACATACTGCTCCTTTAAGAGAGATAAATGCGTTTGAATGGATTTGTGTATTTAACAAACAAAAGTTCCTCTGTACAAAATCAAATACGTATAATAGTATTCGTTAGAACTATGATTATTAACTCGTATGGTGTAATTATGCTTAGGTCAGAGTCACTTACATCAAGAGGAGACTTGGAGTACTTCAGGAGACCATTGTCCAAAACAAAAAAACGCTGTAGAAAGAAATAAAGGATATATTGTTAATCAATTTAGTTGTAGCTTGGTGTGGTATGCTTACTGAGGCTAAAGGTCAGCTTTCATCTAAAATATAATATTAATAATTCATGATACAATGCAATACATAATATAATATTATAATCAAAAGTTGAAGGATTCGTTCTGAAATTGAAACTGTTTTATACTAAGAATTTAAATATTTCACATATTTTTTCACATTAACCTATCTAATGAAGGTTTCACTTTCTAAATGTTTTTCTATGGCCAGTAATTGAGTAATTTTGTTAAACTTTTTTATTTAATGCAATTTAAACCATAGATGATGTAAGTCTCCACTTGTCTGTATGTGAGCATAGAGCTTTAATCAGCACAGGACACACAAACACAAGTCTTAAAGACTTTCCCTTCCGTGAGAGTGTGTGTGTGTGTGTGTGTTTGGGTGAGTCTGTGTGTGTTTGAGCCGCGAGCAGAAACAGGACGTAATCTGCACTGCACAAAGACGGAAGGTGGTGATAGTTTAACACAATAAAAGAGAACAATTGACACAATGCATAAACACAACTATTTTCAAAGCCCTATTTCTTTCACAATACTCATTTTTATTAAATTTCCTTCCACCAATACAGATTCAGAATAAAGGAATACACCATTTCTCTGTGTGTGTGTGTTTTTATACTTCTGGACGCAGCAGTAACCTTTGTGTCATTGTTTTCAAACCTTACCTTATGCCAGCCTTTCAGTGGCCATTTCCGTTTCTTCAACATGAAACCTTCATGTTTATCAGGTCTTAGGACATTGCTCTGGCCAATCTTCAGCCCCTCAATGATCTCCCAGCTGTCTGCTTCCTAAAGAATAATGCACTAATTACATACACATATATTTCACATTTAAAACACGACACATACATTCAGATTCCTCCTGCTGCCTCCGCATTTTCACTCCATTAGCTTTCCCTGGATCGCGCTGTCCTTCTACATTTCAGAGTGAGGCTCCAGAGTCAAGAGAGCAGAGAGACAGGTATGAGATTGCACCACAGTTTCATCAGGAGAGAAGGATTGGAAGCAGTCGTGGTGTCAAGAGCCTTCTCTGTATGCCCTTCTCACTGTACAGGCAACAGTATTGTGTCATGTTTTCCAAGCTCAAATTTCTGATCTGTCATCAGTCAAATGTCGTGGCCTGTGTTGTTTATTATTTACTTTTTTATTTTTACATCTCTGTGTGTGGAGAGCGCTTTGTGACTGGTCTGTGAAAGGCGCTATATAAATAAAGATTACTAACTTACTAACAACAGCAATATTAGATTGTTATCATGACTGTTGAGGGATTCATTGTTTATCTCATGAAGCAAAAGTCAAATTGCATAATCTGCAGCTGATCCTTGGATAACCCTGTCCCTGTCACCTGAGTGAGAGACCTTTGAGACTGCTCCACTCTCACAAACCTGCTTTGTGGAACGTTATAAATGTAAAACGCAAACAGCTTGTTTAATGTAAGGGCCGAGGGAGCTGTCCTGTAACCAAGGATGTAAGTACATTGTTGATACACACAGGGGCAGTAGACATTTATGACAAATCCACCGAGAAGTTGAGAAGAGATTTTACTCTGCTGCTGGATGACCTTAAAAAAAATTGAGTTAAACGTGCTAATCAGTGGCCCCATTCCAAATGCAGATGGAAAAATCGAGAAGTTTAGCCGTCTGTACCAGTTAAATTCATTTCTACACAATGAGTGTTCACGCAGAGGACTTGGATTCATTGAAAACTTCAATCTGTTCTGGAATAGGCTCGAGCTCTTTGAAGGGAAAGGCCCACATCTGAACAAATACGGAGTAAAAGTGTTGATCGATAACTTTGCATCTGCCTTAAGACCTCAGCCTGCGCAACGTGTTCAGCCGTTGAAAGAGAGGAGGATACAAAGGGCGAGACCCTCACGGAACCCAGAGGTCTCGGCACCTCCACCGCCTCAAAAGAACTCAACACGTCCACCAGCATCATCATCAGCAAAGGATCCAGCACCAGCAGCAGCAGTGGCTGCCACAGCGTCATCTGCGCCTTCAGCATCAGCACCACCAGCACCAGCTGTGGCTGCTGCATCATCTTCAGCAGCACCTTCCCCACCTACAGCTCCCGTGAAGCCCCCCCCATTGCTACAGGCTACAGTCAGGCCTGCACTGGGGGCCTCTCAACCACCTCCGTCTCCACCAAAGACTCCCTCATCACCTTCCATGGACCCGGTTTGGGTCCCCCCCGCTACATCCACTCCATCTAAGGAACATGAGGACGACCTTTCCCTGTGTTTTCCATCACTATTGGATTTACCGGAACACTCTGCAGGCATGATAAGATCGGCGATGAAGAATATTCCTCTCACACCCACTGTAGCCAGATCAAGGGTCCTATCTAACATTCATAACTTCTCCCCATACGTACCTCCAAAGCCACCTAGGGCGTCCAACTCAAATTCTCCCACAAAATCCACCCGTCCCTCAAATTCTACGAATTCACCCGCAAAATCCACAGGTCCCTCCCCTAACCCCAAAACCATTCCAGCCCCACCCCCACCCCCCCCTCGTTTCCCATCACCAAGAACCCCTCCACCTCCACTCCCCCCTCGTCTATCTCCCAACTCCTGCCCCTCCCCTAACACCCATCCACCTCCAACCCCCCCTTGTCCAACACCCAAGAACCACCCACCTCTCCATCCTCCTCCCTCCTCTCCCTAGGATGCACAGGGTCTCTGCTTCGCAGCCACTGGCAGTCTAGTTAGAGGAGAGACCCGGCTGGTCTCGCCTTAATGTGACTCAGTAATTCGCAGGAAGCCTAACTGGGGCCAGGCTCGTGGCGGTGGGGTCTCGGGCCTCTGGCCCTGTCATGAAGCCACCTGTGCCATTCCCTTATATCTTGTCGTTCGTAAAAAGGGAGTATAAGGGTTCCAAAAATATACGAAGTTGGAAAGTGGGACTTTTAATTTCGAGGGGATTTTCTATATTGATAACAGGGATGAAAGGTTGATTGTCTGGGAGACTGATCAGGGTATCGAGGTAGATATGTTTGGGTCTGAGCTGGGAATCCTGGTGGGTTTTAGGCCCGTGGTTACCTTCGGTGTAGCAAGAGTGAACGTCTCGCGTGGGTGGCTCTGAAGGTCTCGTACTCTGAGTCGTTGACTTGGGGGCGGCCGGCTTATAAGTGCCAAGCCGTATGGTGCTGTCGCCCCGGGTTTGGTCGTTTAGGATCTGTCATCGTCTATTGCATCCGTGCACCTTGTAAAGTGTTCGCGGCAGTCGTCTAATCCCGTATGTGTTTGACGAATGGCCTTGGTTTCGGCCTGGCACATACCCAAGATCTACGGCGGGGGCCCTTAGTCCGTGCGGGGCTGCCAGAGTAGGTTTACGGGTTGGCTGGTTGATGGCTCGCGCAGCTGGCATACTTCTCTTGATCGGTGGTGTGTCCACTAGGCAGTTACGGTCTTCGGTTTGAGCCCCCTCGGTGGGGGTTGGCTGGGCACGTGGTGGTGCGCGTTGTAGGGTCACCAAGGAGTCGGGCTCTAAGATCTCGGGTATACCTCGTCACTCTGCCTCGTACGGGGGGGGGTGCAGGGGGGTGTAATGCTTGTGCCTACGTGGAGCGATTGCGTCGGAGGGACGTTGACCCAGGTTTCATCCGGGAGGTTTACCTGGGACGAGGTGTCATGTTTGTCATGGTCAAGGGGCGTTCTAAGGGGTAGTGTTCACTAGCTCATCTTGCCCTACGATCTTGCCTGGTTTCGGTTACTGGTTTCGAGAGGTGACCGTTGCTGGTGCATCGACTCCATGGAGTCATGGGCTCAGGCCGCAGATGCCATCTGTGCCTGTCCCTGACGAAAGGTTTACTGGGGCTATTGTATGGATGTCCTTGGTGATTTTTCCCAACCCCACCCCCCCCCCCCCCACCTCCCTTACGTATTTCTCTGCTGCCCCCCCTCCAAGCCCCCCCGTCACCCCCCCCCCCCCCCCCAAGTCCCCCCCCCCTTTCGGGTTCTCCCCCCCCCCCGGCTCGGTCCCCACCCCCCACCCCCCCCGTCCCCCCACCCCCCCCCCCCCCCCCCCGCGCCCCCCCACACTCTCGTCACTCCCATCCCTCCCCCTCCCCAACCCCCCACCCCCCCCCCCCCCCCCCCCCCCCCAACCCAATGGCCGCCCCCCCCCCCCCACACCTACCATGTGTCCTCTTTACCTATCCGGCCCCACCCCCCCCCCACCACCCCCCTTATCCCCCCCCCCACCCCCCCCCCCCCCCCCCCCACCCACCCCCCACCCTCCCCCCCCTGGGTGGCAACCCATTTTCCCCCTTTCCCCCCAACCCCCCCCCAACCCCCTCTTCCCCCACCATCCACGCCCCAATCTTGGTTTGGGTTGTTCTTTTTGTTTGCATTTTTTTGTTTGGGGGGTTGTTGTTGTTGGGGTGGGTTTGTGTCTTTTTGTTCGGGGGTTTTTTTTTTGGTTTTGTGTGGTTTGTACAGTGCCACATTATTCAACACGTCAGGCCAAAAGCATCAATGTAAAATGTACCTGAATTAGCGTGTGAGCTAAATTGCATCCGTTGTCCTAAGGAAGGAAAGAAACATGACAGAAGGAAAATACAAACATAGTTACAGAGAACAGCACAAAATGTTTTCAGTACAGTTACAAGGACAGACACAGGATAAGATAACTAACATAGGGGGGTAATATGTCTGGGTCTGTACTCTGACGTGGGACATTGTCCTTCCAGGTCCCTAGGTTAGTGATCCCTTTTAGTCGGTAGATTTTATCGCCGGGAACTATCGGTAGGGTGACTAGAAAGGCTACCTCGCGGGGTCCAGTGGATTGACATAGATGGGGACTGCACGCGCCAGCGTGTACGCCAAGTGGGCTTGCATGGGGGTTACGGCGTCCCGTGTGGCTACGGCTAGGATGTTCTCAACTAGAGCGTTAGCGGCACGAGGTATGGCGGGCTAGGCCCATGGCTAGGTTTTCGGATCGAGGAGCTGAGGTGACGTAGCATGTCCACCATCAGTTGGGGTGGTCGGCTGAGTATGGTGCGTAGTCTAATTGGAGGAACGTCCGAAGAGTTGATTAACCGCAGCGGAGGTTGCGTGTAAATCGGCGACCCTCATGGGTTGTTTAAGTACTCAGCATGTGTTCACTTTCAGGGATTTTCCCTAGGTCACCACGTCGTTCTGTTGCTGGTCAAGTCTGGTTTTGACGTCACCTCAAGTTCAGAGGCCAATTTTTTTTTTTTTTTTTTTTCTAGTTGGTAGGCGGTCTGAGGGAGGGTAGTTGCTAGATGGCGTTTACCGTGGACATCCCCAGGCGAAAAGAGGGTGCTCAAGGGCGGATAGCCCCTGCGCCGAGGAGAGGCCCCAATAAATCGTTTTTTGGGGTCTGGGGCGAGGACCACTGAGGCTCTTGTCCTAGTTGATCGTGAACTTCTCAGCTGCCGTCAGAATGTGCTGTATGTCTGCCTCTGCGGGCTCCACGACCGTCTGGGGTCCAGCGGGCCGCCTGCCCAATCTTTGAGTGTGACCTTCAGAGGGCAGGTTCTTGCGGCACGACCTCACATAGGGTTAGAGTCTGGACAATGTTTCGCTGTGGTGTGGAGTCTGCACGACATTCGTGATGAGGGACGGGTTGTTCCTTTAAAAACGTTCCCGGGGCTGGTCCGGGTCTCAATAATTTTGGGGTGCCGATGGACACTATGCAGGTCAGCCACAAGGAGGAGAGTGGGCCCAACATGTGCTGACAAAAGTGTGAGACAACTGTTAGGGGTTAGGCGGAGAGAGAGAGAGAGAGAGAGTGTTCGATTAATTCAGCCAAGAAGAAGGTTAGTGGTTGCTGGACTAATTGTGTTCGAGGGCACAGGATGTGTTCCTCACGGGATTGGTGTTGTGCCCTACATGTCCATGGGCTTTGTTTGTGTGGTTTGGTTTTTGTTGTGACGACCCGATTTGAGGGTGGGTTCTCATCCTACTTTTGTGACCTACGATCTGGTACACTTGCGGTGAGAGTTTGTTACCACCCTGTGCATATGGTCCTGACCAGCGGGGGTAGCAGTTTCCGTCGTAGTCCCAGGCGTGGGGACGGGTCCCACTTGTCCTGGGGAAATGTGCAAAGGTGTTATACCTACCGGTTTTCAACTGGAGATCGTTGCGGACGCCTTTTGATAGTAGTCAGGCTTTGCGTCCGTCGGCGCTGTCTTCCCAGTTGCGTCTGTGTAATGCAAACGTCTGTTCCAGGTGGTCCTGCGGGTCAAGGTCCGTATTGGTGTGTGGGTGTAGGCCGTGGCGATGTTCGGCCTCAGCCGGTTGGTAGAGCCGATGCAGACGGGAGCGGTCATTTGCCTACCGTCGACAATTTTAGGATGGGAAACTCCCGTGGAGCGGTGGGGTGTGGCTCGGAGTAGCCCTCAGGAGGCAGTTTCATGTTCCAGGCACTCTGGTTTGAGGATAACGTACCTTAGTAATTTCAATCAACCGTCCCGAGTTGCCGTCCTTTACTACCTTGTTGTAGTGCCTGGGTGTGTTTGTTTATACCTCTGTGTTCCACGGTAGGTGCGTCATGGGCATGTGCCAACATCACCCCCCTCATGCTTCGAGGACCACGAGTACCGACGAAGTGTGTGCATGGAAGCAGAAAACTAACAGCCCATGGCGTATTGGCAGTTTGTCGTTATCACGCCCGAAGATTTTGAGCGTCGCGTTGGTCGTGACGTCGCTGGGGGCGTTTTAGTGTGGGGTCCGCATATCGGGGGAGGCTAGGTCCGACCTGTCGAAGTCGGGGGTTGTGCGCGTTGGGCGCGCGTCGGGCTGTCGGGTCCAGTTTAGCGGCGTTTTGGCCCGAGTGATCGCGCAGATTGTGGCGCGGTTCCTGACCGGTTTTCGGTTTGTGCCGCGGCGGGCTGTAGGCCGTCTGCAGGCGGCGCTCCTTATGACAGTTGCAGTGGTTCTCGCTCAGTGGGCGTGGGATGGGTAAGGGCTCCGGTACTTGTGCCCAGATCTTTAGACGTTGGAAGTCTATTGGGGGTTTTAACTGATTTAGAAGGTCCTGGCCCAGTAGGGAAGTGGATGCGCGATGGAATGGGGAGCTGTAGACCGGGTGGACTAGCGTCATGGGGCCCACGGTCAGTTGCATATAGCGCCATTTTACGTATGGTCCGTGTTTACCTGGGAATTGGGTCGTATTTCCACGTCGCACGGCTGTGGTTGTTTAGGTCTCTGTGGGATTTCTGGCCAGGGACTGTAACTTACCGAAGAGATCGTCGCCATTCAGGATGATGTCGGCAGCTGTGTCTACGAGCGCTTATCGTGTGCCCATTGGTCCTCAAGCGTCACGGGCAAGTAGAGTTTCCCGTAGGTACCTTTTTGTTGGTAGATCGCCAATGCACTGGTGGAACGGTGGTTCGCAGTTGATGTCGAGGGGCAATCCCTTCGTGAGTCTGTGATGGAGTTTACCTGTATCACCATGACGTCCCTCTGGTCGTAGTGGGCGTTCTCATTCTGTGCGTGTGGGTCTCGGGGTTCTTCGCTTACCTGGTCCTGGATGGTCCCGAAGGACGTGTGGGTCGAAGTAGGTGTCCTCCGACTGTTGCACGCTATGGTCGTCGTGTTCATTTGGTAGGGATAGTCGTCATTGGTCTCATCCGACACGGACACTGCGAAACACGTCAGCAGTGGTCTGTCCTTTTTTCTCTGGCTTTGCGCAGGAGTGCGCGGAGGAGGGATTGTTGCTTCCCTGGAAAGTTTGTTTGTATTTATGGTTGTAGCGGGGCGGTGCTTGGGAGTTAACTGCGGTGCGCGGTCTTTCCCGTCCGGGCTGGGCGGCGCGGTTATCGTCGAATGGCGTTGAACTTTTGGTCGTGCCATTGTCTGTATCTTTGGGTCTGTGCGTCGCTGGTTATTGCTTTGGGGCCTTCGATCTGTCCCCCATTTTTGTTTTTGGGTGGTTGGTGCGCCTTCGAGTTGCCATGTGTTGTCCACACTGTACACTGTAGGCTGGTTTTGTGGCTTCACTTGGGTTTGAGTAAGTGTTTGCTCTGCGCCCTTGCCACTAGGGTCCTTCAGTTGTCGTATGTCCTGTGTAATGGGGGCAGGCGTACACGCCTAGTAGGTGGCTAAGGTTGGGTGGAGGTATTTGGATGTACAGGGCCTTGAAATTTTTTATCTTCCTCCATCCCTTCGTAGCTTTTGGTTGCCGAAGTTAGCCCTGTCTCAACCTGTTGTAGTAGCAGTCCGCAAGCTCGTTGTGAGTTTGTTTGACTGCCATGGCTGCCGGTGAGGGTCCCGGAGGCACCGTAATCTGAGTATTCTGCCAGATGGCTTTGCAGAGCTCATTGTAGTCATGTTTTATGCCCCCCCACCCCCCCCCCCCCCCCCCCCCCCCCCCCCCCCCCCCCCCCCCCCCCGTGACAGACAGAGTACTCCAACAAGGTGCAGACCCAGATGAACCACTCCGCACCTTTGCAAGGTACCCAATTGAGTGTAAGACCAGAGACCAGCCAAGTAGGTTGAAGGAGACCAGACAGAAAGGAGAACACCCCAACTAGGGTGGAGAAAGAAAGAATGATAGATAGAGGACCAACAGTCTGGAAGTCATGACCAGATTGAGACCAGCAAGAAGTTTCGTTTCTCTCAGAACCAGGGACCAGCAAGTTCAGAAGACCAGAACTGAGGCGGTAGACCCCGAGGGGGTGGGATTTCTGTCCTGGCGTACCTAAGGGAGGGGAGACCATACCAAGGATGAGGTGTCCGGTTTCGCTTTGCCCACCAAATACTTACGTGGTCCTCCCTTCCACACCCACCATGAGACCCCACCCTTATGTGAGACACAGGAGACAACCTCCAAGGTGACGGACGCACCCAGAGACCCCAGCAAGGGCTCCGGCGTCGAGACCAGAGGGGACCAACAATTCCACCAGCTAAAAACAACTAGGTTTTTTTATGAGATCCAGCGACCTACCCACCCCCCCCGCCCCCCCCCCCAGGTGGTTGAGGACCAGGAGACCCCAGCAAGGTGAGACCAGAAATTCACAACAATAGAGGGGCTCGAGCACCCAGACCCCAACAACGCGTTATTCTCAGACATACTGCCGGGAGACCCGACCCGCCAAGGGAGTGCAGACCAGAAACCGTAACAAGGGATTCTGTATTTATTGAGACCATGAATGGACCCAACCCAAAGGCCATAGTGTTGACCATGAACGGCGACCACCAGCAAGGTTGAGACCCAGTAGAGACACCAAGGCACGGAGGTTTTGAGAACCAGAAGGAAAGACCCACACCGACAGTTGTTTTTCTGAGGACCCCACAGAGACCGAGCCAGAGTTGAGTCCAAGTCGAGGAGAACCAAAAACGAAGTGTCTTTGAGACCAGGAGACCCAACTTTCTCAGCACCTGTTAGCAGAGGACCAGCAAGGTTGTTTTGCGAGTTACGTATGAGTAGACCAACGAGGTTTCTTGGTGAGACCAGCGGACCAGCAATGCGTGTTGGGAGACCAGAAGAAGAGCAAAACCCAACAACGGTGTTCGTATGGGCGGGTAGCAGACCCAAGAGAAGACTCAAAAAACGGAAAGAGGTTCAGACACGAGACCTCTCGAGCAATCCACAGGTCCTGCTCAGACCAGAGACCCAGCAAGTTGTGACCAGCGACAACGTGGAAAGCAATCGTGAGACCACAGCAAGAGACAGAGTACTCCAACTTCATGTCCGAGGTACCCAGAGGCGACCAACAAGGTTGGAGACCAATGAGAGGACCGGCAAGGTCTTGAGACCCCCAGGGACGCCAACTACGGTAGAGACAAGAAGAGAGGACCCGAGCAAGTGTAGAGGACAAGTACATTCTTGCCCACTTCTCCCGCTTCACAATAAACAATAACACTCCCAAAAATCCCCCCACTGCTGCTAAATCTTTGTGCTCTTATTCTTATCCATTCGACTCCTACCAAATAAATAATACCATTTTTTACATTGGACATAATGCCTAAACCAAATAATAAAGGCCATTTTGCCTCTATTATCTGAGGAAAAATACCATTATTTATGTTTATATCATAGATATTAAAGAGAAGTGATACTCTTTTTTAAACACAGAAATGTACAAAACCATTGGTGTTAGCATCAATAATGGTAGGTCTTGACATGTTGAAAATGTCGAATTTTATTAAGCGACTAATAGGGATTAATAAATGCCAACAGAAGAGCATATATAGCAGATAAGGATTACAAACAATTTTGTTTTAAATGATGGCACTTAAATTAGCCACGTTTTAATCAGTGTCCTAAAGCTAAGTACTGCACCGCGTCGCGCTTCCTAGAGAGATGATTCTGAATAATACAAAGACACTAGATCCCACACTTCCTCCTTTGACTGTTGTCTACAGTTAAAAATACATTGTTATTGCCTAAATCTTTAAATATGAATATATCTTACCGCAAAGGAGGCTGTTGGTGGGGAATGTGCTGAGCTTGAAGCTGAACTGGACCTCATGTCTAGCTTAAACGGCCACCGTGCCTGTCAGTTGTACTCCTTGGAAACCGCCTTTCGTGATAGCCACATCCATGCTCTGACTCTGTTGTACAGATTCCCACCTGCCAAAACATTACAGCGCACAACTCACTCTGTTCGCTGGAGTATTCCAACGCTATCGGAGTGCCGCGCTATGTGTAAGCTAGCTGATACCCTTAGCAAAACTGTTACAACTGTGGTCGTAACTCATCTTTTTGGTATCTTAAACAATATCGCACTGATTATGGGGGTTGAATCTTTTGTTTGACTTGTTTACCAAAGTATCCATTGGCTTTTCTGCTTGTAAGTAAGTTCTTCAACTCAGTTTTATAGCACTGTCCTGTGGCTTGTTTTTATATTTATTGTGCAGTAATTTACTATCAGGATTCCTTTTCCATTTATTTACAGTTTTTGTTTGTGTTGCATCTTACATCTTCCCTAAGTGGGTAGTATTTCACATGGGCAGCAGCTTTGGATTGTGTTTGTATCTAGAGTGACACTTCTATTGACCATCTGTTTCCCAATTGACACTTGTCACTTTTGTTGAACATTATATCATTGCAGTGTAACCTGTTTTTGCACATTTCCTCCTCTTGCACAATCGGAGTGTCGCTTCACTCAAATTCTCCCAAATGTGAATGTAAATTTATCCCTTGTGAGAATAAAATATAGAGCAACATCGTTTCTTATTCTTATCTTTATCCTTATTATTACATTATAGCTTTGAATCATCAAGTAAGATGTTACACTTTTTTGTTATAAAATAAGACATGCCAAAAGTTTTGACACACTATCTACATTCAATGAGTTTCCTTTCTTTTCAGGAACTATTGTCCTGCTAGATACACCAGGCTGTGCTAAGGGCTGTTTGACCAATAAGGAGAGTGATGGTGCTGGAGCCGAGCCCATGTGACCTCCACAGTCACCCGACCTTGAACCCACCCAGTCTCCACGATGGTTTTGGGGTTTCTGAAGGGTGGACCACAATAGCAATGTTTGGAAGGGCAAAAATAGGGCATACCTAATGCCGTGCTACAGCTCATGGAGAAACTTCCTTCAAGAGTGAAGACCCATTTCAGGGTCCTCTTGAAAGGTCTCATCGAGAGAAAATGCCAAGAGCGATGGAAGCCAGTATCAGGATCAACAGGTTGCTGCTCCTTGGGAAAAATAAAACACATATCAAAGTAAAAAAAGTAAAAAAACTCTTTACTACGCTCGAGACAAAAATTTAATACACATATTTTTCAGTTTGTTTCAATCTTTATTTTTTTAGTAAGTACCTAAATCCACATCAGTTAATTTCCATTGTTTTTTTGAGGCCTACAGTGTAATCTCCTTAATTTTCCATTACACTTAATAAAAAAAAAAAAAAAACTGCTTTTTTTAATATTTTACAATGAGAACGATGTGTCAAAAATGTTTTTGTTTGTTACCCTGCACTGTTATCTATTTATAAAAAAAGTATGAAAGGAGATAAGCAGTTTATGCGTTCAAAATAAGGTTGCTTTCAGTGTTAATACTAACATGACATGCTAACATACATGCTAACAGAAAATACTTTTTTGCGTCTTTTCTTTCCCAGATTTTCAACAGTTCACAATCGAGATTGTCACCTCCTGCGTGGGAAACTACACACGCCAGTACGTTTCGTTAAACGTGTTTCTCGGATTCGTTTTGGGTTCGGTGAAGAGATTTTCCTCTTTTGCCGCTGTCCGATTCTTGGCGGTTCACCTCAAAGACTCTGACCTCGCGAGTCCACGTTTTTTTGCTTGGCGCTGCCGACTGGACGACCCCAAAGGAGATATCGACGCCGCAGTTGAATTTAGCTAGACAAAAAAACACCCGCGCAGCTGTACGCTATTACCTTACAGGAGCTCGGGTGATCCAAAACACCCCCGCCGCCCAATATTTGACGATAACACGGGGCAGACTCTTGCTCTTTTAAAATTTGGCTATCGGTTAAGAGTCCAAAACCAAAACACAAATTCTTAAACTTCATTAAGATATTTTTTTTTTTATTTTCTCTAATTTTTTGTGAGGAGAATTTTTCATACTTGAATCTATTTTATAATGTATATTTTATATTTTTTATGGTCTTTTACCTCTTTGAATATTATAACGCAGCTACCTAGCTTAAACCTTTTCTGAGCCTTGGATATGAAACGGAATCGGAAGAAACCATCTCTTTTTTAATTTATTTGTAAAGGTTTATGATCCGGCTGTAATCCCGTGATCTTGTCTTTCGGTCTCTTTACCCAAAGCACCATGCCCAAGAGGTTTGAAGGTGAAAATTTTTTGATTTGACACGTATCTAGAGAGCTTTGAATCTGCCGGGTGCCGACACTTCTCCCTCTTTCCTCCAAAAATACATGAACGTTTTGAGGATATTACTATTGTTCCTAGCATCATTCTGAAACCTTTTGGGCATCATATGAGTGGAAGGCGAATGGGGCTTTTTAAAAAACACCATAACGGTTTTTAAATTAGAGAAGAATTTCTTAGTCTTAGAGCCAATAAAAATAGCTTTCTGCTTTTGGACCATTTACCAATACGGAGAAACAAAAAATTAATATCCTAATCTTTCCGTTATTCCTTCATAAATAAACTTTACGGTTTTTGACTTTTTCCTAATAACATTATGAAACCTATGCACCACCATCTATAGCAGAGCCAATAAAAATAGACGTAGATGGAGGCTATGTAAATTAACTATTGTTTCTAAGAGAGCACTGCAGCGGACCCACATGCGCACTGTATTTGAATAATCAACCTTTCAGTTTTGACCATTGCGACACGCACGTCTGGTGGAGAAAATAAACCCAGCCAGCTTGTTATGCGTGGCTAATGCTCTGACCGAGGATGCACAAGCGGTTGTTTTTTGCCTTTTGGTTTTTTGTTTTTGCCTTTTAAAATATTTGTTTTGTTATTTTATTAGTCAGACGTTGTGAAGAGACTCCAGTGTCGGACTTCGGGGGAACCAACTCAGCCTCACCTCTTCTGGTCTTTCCTCTAATCTCTCTCTGGTTCTTTATTGGT